ATTAAATGGCTGTGTCAAGGTAAAAGGGGAACATTTTGAGGAATTTCTTTTTTGTTTTAGTCTCTATAGATATACATTTTATTTTCAAATAAAGTTTTTGAAAAAGTTAATTTTGCTGTTGAAATCTGTATATATTTCCTTGTAACAATATTTATGACAGGACTAGGTATTCTAGAGTTGACTAGTGTCATGATTGAATAATGATCATAGGGAAAATATTAAACTCTATTGGAGGAAAATAAAACCACTCAGAGGTAAAAAGCCCAAACAAATAAGAAACATAAAGAATGAAAAAGAATAGATGGTATCAGAGGAAAAAGACATCTTGGATACCTGACATAGAAACTACTCTAGACAGTTCGGGGGAAATCCGGAAGAAAGAGATCATCCTGATGGGGAGGCCGAGACGGAGGATCAAGGAAATAACTTGATTGAAGAGATCGAGGTTGAAAAGGCTATTGCGAAGATGATGACAGAGAAAGCAGCTGGCCGAGACAAAATAGCCCCAATTTCTTAAATATGAAGAACCAGGGGTGCCCAGATGTCTATCTTCCTACCAGTACTTCTCTATGGCGCGGAGAGATGGATTAGGAATGAGAGGCTACTAAGTTATATTACTGCCTCGGAAATTGTTCCTTAGGAGAATTGTGGAGAAAACACGGAAGGACTGTGTTCGAAATTAAAGGATTATAGAAGAGCTACATGTACGCCCAATAACAGAAAACCTGAAGAAGAATCAACTGAGGAGATATAAACCATCACACAAACCCAATCAAAACCATGTAGGTAAGACCGATAGAAAGAAGATCAAGAGGGCGGCCAAGAATCTCTTATATCATCCACATGGAACAAATAGAGGCACAGACGGATGACCTTGGAAGAAATAAGGAGCCTTGCCAGGGACAGATACGGATGGTTTCAATGGCTTGAAGCACCCCCACGTTGAAATGCAAATGGATGTAAGAAAAAGAAGATTTTTTTAAAATTTATTTTTACCACATTGAATTATTATAGATAACCCCTCATCCCCCGAAATATGGACCTACAATCGAAAGATTTGCAAATCGTGAAAATATAATAAACAAATGTAAGAAACAATGAACAGATTTCGTTTATAAAAATACTTATCCTCAAGATTTCAATGTCTAACTGTTTCCAAATTTCAAGTAAAAATCCAGAAACCAAATGTTTTTCTATTGGATTATGGATCACCATAGGGATATCGAGGTGAACTTACAATATTTAATGTTCATGAGATTTAAAACTATCTGATGGGTCTAGGAGGTAGCGAGCATTGCTGATTGCTGACAAATTGCTACACAAACGAATGATGATCATCATAACATAACTCTATAGTCACTGAAAGGAGCTCCATAGGAATTCATTATGTTGAATAAAACTGAAACCAGGAATGAAACTGAAACGGAAAACACAGAGCTCTAATGATCCTTTGCCATTTCAACAGGAAATTAATCTTAATCATAAAAATTAATCAAAAGGACATTCTTTTTCTGTTAGAAAACTGATCATGGTTTTGAATGTAGAAGACGTTCTGCTTCAGGAATTGTTTGAAGATTATAAATAAGTTTAATTACAAAATAGTAAGCCGAAACTCCAATCATGATCACTGAGGAAATGTCTACATGATAGTTTTGGATCTTTCTTTCCTTGCTAATCCCTGAGTGATTACACAAAAGTAGAATTAATGATTCTTTATGATGATTGCAATTTTAAAAAATTGAGTTAAATTGTTAGGTCGTTTATAGGAAATGGAAGCAATTCTTCTTCAGGAATCCTGGTGGAAAACGGATTCCTGTAGAAGTGTGTCCACCTGTGAATAACGGAAAGCAAGGAATGGAAGTGAACAAGGTGAGCTATATGTCTCAATGTATGGGATTCATAGGTTGTTTCAACATTTAGATTAATTATCAGTAATCTTTATTAAGACAAACTTGAAAAAAAACTACAGCTGGTTAATAGCTAGCCAATTCCACACTGGGGGAGCCCCTTTATGGTAAGCCCCACATACACAAGGAAATTAAGTCCTAAAATAAGTAAAATAAAATGGCTTTTTGACATATTCAGAATTTATTTTGAAAGTTTGGTTCGTAAGAAGAATTTTTTAAGCATACAATGGCATTTCGGTGCCTGGATATTTTATAAGACTGGAAACACTGAATGTGGATTGGAAGTTCGCTTTTGATCAAAATGGTAGATGATTTCTTATTGGTGTCGTGAGGGTTGTCATAATTTTGACCTTAGGAATCATGTTCGTAGATGATTATTGCCATTTTCAAGAATCCGAACGTGATTTTTGATAATTAATCCTCCCTATATTATGTAATGAAATTGAAATGTACTGGAAATAACAAAAATGTTCAGAAGTCGTAGTTGGTTTGGAGGTTCTCTTTGGAGAAATAAAAATCCTCACTCTTTAGAACACTTAAAGTAAAGAGAATAAAAATTATTAATTAATTAAAAAGCATTATATGGTTCGACTGTTCATTTCTTTTAATTTCCAGATATTTGTATAATGTGTTATCTAAAAATCAGACTGTTAATGAAAACAACAGAGGATTGCTGGTCGAAACTCTGAGGTCAATAGCAGAAATTCTTATTTGGGGAGATCAAAATGACAGCAGTGTGTTTGAGTAAGTGTTTACTATTTGTTACCACTGTTGATCATAGTAACTGTTACTTTGATCTCACCTTTGTTGAGTTGATTTGTTTTCTTATGCTGTTGAAAGATAAAATATATTCCTTAATCTGACTTAAAATGAATTTAATGCTTGTAAGCGTTGTCTTCTTCTGCCCTAGTTGAAACTTAATGTTTTCATCCAAAATTAATGGTTAGAATATATCAGTGTTTAGAATGATATGTTGTCAATCTTTTGTTTACTTCTAATTTAATGACAATCTTTTTTTTATATAATACCAGTTTGAATCTTAGTAGATTAAAATTTGAATATTCATCTTATATCTACGCAAGTAAATCTTTGACTAAATAATTTATTATAAAAAATGGTTTTACTTCAATTTATATGCTGGTGAAAAAATTATTTAGCTTTATTACCTCTTAATGGTAATAGTTCAGAATACTTTATTTGACTAGTAATTTACCAAATACAGTTATTCAATAATTGTAGTGGTTCTCTTCTTGCTCCAGATGCGTAAACCTTACTATTGCTACATACTAATTTTTCTTGATGGATAACAATTCTTGGAGAGTAGTAGTTGGTGGCCATATAAAACATTATGACACACTTTTTAGGTACTATTTCATAAATGTTGCTCCACCATGATATGTGGGCACAAGATCATTGTGATTATGCACTGTAGATAGAATTACAAGTGGAAACAGAGGTAATCGAACCTTCTCGTAAGAACAACTGAAAAGAACTCTGGTGGTTTGTTCAAACCGTTTGAGTGGGTGGAAGTTGTGTCTGTAGAATTTGCAAATTGTGATCTAAATAATGGTAAACTATTCATGCAAACATGTCAATACTTATCCATTCTTGGAATTCCATGTATAGTGTGGTCTTAAGATTCTGTGCCTACACATCAAAGTAGAGCAACATTTGTGAAGTTGTATCACCCTTTCTTATTAAAGTTCTGGGTCATAAATGAAGCTTTAGACTACTCATAGCAACCAATTTTTACTGATGGGTTTTAAAATAGGAGATCCATGCCAGCTGAGTCAGACAGTTGAGAATTATTTTGTTTTAATTTTAACTAAAATCATTTCTGAAAATTTCTAGCAATAAGTGTTAACATTAGAGAGATTATACTGTTGTGGCTATCAAAACCTCAGTAGCTAGGAGGAACATATCTAACGAATTTAGTGTGTTGTGGCACAGGATGTATTCTGAACTATTGCTCATTTTTCGTTTAATCAATGCAAAAGAAAATAACTTAAGAGAAAACCTTCTGGGCGGAGAATGTTTCCTTCGTTATAATTTCAGACAACTACTCATGATTTTTTTAAAAAACATTTTGATTTGCTTGATAATCTTTCAATTACTAACAATATTTTTTTATATTCAGATCTCCGAAAAAGATCCTCTTGTGAATTTTCTCCAATCTAAATGATCAAAATTTGCACTAAACTTATTCTTGCACATTTTATATTTAGGTATTGAATTAATTTCAACCATATTTTCTATGCTGATATTGAAAAATCTAATATTTATAGTTTTTCGATAAAGTTTCTTTTCTTTTTAATGGGAATTACAATCGAACTTCTTATATGTTGGCATATATGTCATAACGTTAACATTTGAGTGTATATAAAAAATTTTATTTATTTAGTTAAAATTAATAAAATTTATTAGGAATAATTACTTTGATGGAACTCTGCACTTCTATGGGTATAAATCATTTAAAAATTAAGACCTCTTTAGCAGATTAAGAACCATACAAATAAACTTGAGTTAGTCTTGGAAAAAGAAGCTAAATTCCATCATCAAGAACCTTAAAATTGTGGCTGTCAATATATTCCGATGTTTAAGTTATGATAAAAGTGTCAACTTATTTATTCGAAATTATCTTCATGATATATATATATTTCGTATAGATTTCTTAAAAATGGCTTGGAAAATATTGTTAAAAGTTTGCTATTGAGGATGATTCATTGTTCAAGATGTTTGGATGAAAATCCATCATTGAAATTAACTCATACTAATTTTGTTCACACCATTTTGAAATAACTAAAGCCATTTCAAAATTAAGTCTGAGCTTGTTCATCGAATTAGGCTAGTTACTACATTATTTGACATATTAGAAATATTTTTTTAATTCACATCTATATCAAAGGCATCAAATGGTAAATGATAACAGCATACATAAAATTGCTATTTAATATTCCTTCTAAAACACGGTGTTTCAAAATTTGTCAGTTAATACCTCATAAAAATTGCTATGTATGTCGCTGATAAGATAGGATAAGTAATGATAGATTTATTGAAATAATAACTATAAAAAGATTAATGTTCTTTTTTTAGTTTTTTTCTGGAGAAGAACATGCTTTCTTTTTTCCTTAAAATTTTAAAGCAAAAATGTGGAAGCTACGTATGTGTGCAGCTATTACAAACATTAAATATTTTGTTTGAAAACATTCGAAATGAAACCTCTCTATGTAAGTATAACATAAAATATTAATTAAAGTAACCCATTCAATTTTCTGTCTTACCTAACTCAAGTTTTATGTTTTATTTTCAGATTACTTATTGAGCAATAATCATGTAAACTCAATTATTGTACATAAATTTGATTTTTCTGATGAAGAAGTTATGGCCTATTATATTTCTTTTCTGAAAACATTGTCTCTTAAACTTAACAGCCATACGATACATTTTTTTTATAATGATGTAAGTAATTTTAGTATTTTTATTTGTAGGTTATAATGGCCCATTATATATATATTTCAATGATTGAAATTTAGACAAATGATAGAATTAAGAATACAAATTGTTAAACTGTTGTCAAAAAGCATAAAAATTAAAACCTAAATTAAAAATTCTATTATTTATATATTAAAAAAATGTCTGCCAAGTAAGGTCAGTATAGCTTTTAAGAGTGAGCTATAAGGAATAAGTGAACTTTTTGTTTGTTCAGAGTTAACGAGACCAATACTTTACTTCAGTCAGAACTAAACTAACTTAAGCTGGAATATAAAAATACCGTTGAAGTTCAAGCAACTTTGATGATAAAGGAGAAAATCGAATAGAAACAAACAAAATCACAAAGAAGATTTTTGTTTACTAACCAAAAAAATTAAAAGTTAATTAAAATTTATTGAAAATTACATGAAATCCAAGTGCAGTGTCATGCCAGTAATGTTTGGAATTGACCAAACAATACATTTAAATTAACCTTTTTAAACTAAATAAAACCTAAAATGTTATAACCTCATAATATTGCCACATAGTCAATAGATGATCAAAATGAGGATAAATAATTGGTTATTATACTTGGTCCATATTTCGGGTCAGAAACAATTTTTTTCAAACAAATTATCTTATTTGTTGGTGTAATTGATTTGTATGATGCATTGTATGATATTGATTAACTTAAAAACTGAATTAAAAATATAACTAAGGTTTTAGTCAGGCAGTTGGAGGAAAGTGCTAGCCAATTGGTCTGTACCTAGTATACAATTAGATTGAAATCTTGCACCTCTACCAGTACCTGTCCATTCAACCTCCCATACATTTCATTACTTTTTTTTTCATTAAAAGTTATAAAACTAAGAGATTGTACTTAATCTTACTTTAAATGAAACTTAATATGTATAGGTATCTAGTTTCGTAATTTTTTTTTTCATTTCATTGTAATTTTTTTCAGCATACGAATGATTTCCCTCTTTATACTGAAGCAATCAAATTTTTTAACCATTCTGAATCAATGGTTAGAATCGCTGTTAGGACATTAACTCTAAATGTTTATAGAGTACAAGATAATTCAATGCTGAGGTTTATCAGGAATAAAACTGCTGCTCCATACTTTTCTAATCTAGTGTGGTTTATTGGAAATCATGTTGTGGAATTAGATACATGTGTACGTAATGATGCTGAGTGAGTACTATTTTTATAATTATTTAGCATATTGAAATTTGGCCTGATTTGATTGATTTTTATTTATGAAAAAAGATAATTGACTTTTAGGTGTAATGACTTACCAACTAAAATAATCCAATTTTTTACATTGTTACATTATAAGAGATTAATGTTTAAAATTTTGGAAATAACAATGAATTAGCCTTGTTTTGATATCATAATTTTACATTTACTTGTACAGCTGTTTTCAGATTTGTAAGAGCAATAATTTGATATCTAAATAACAAATTTTCATATTACAGGGTGTCCCGTAAGTAGAGGGAAATTTTTAGAGGAGTAATAACAAATCTCTAGGCCCACAAAAAAGTTCATATAAACAATGGGGCGATTCTAAGATGAAAAGTAGGCAATCCAACTTTAAGTTTTTTTAAAGTAAGTCATGCTTTTTTATGAATAGGAAGCGATAACTGAAGAAATATTTAATTTAAATAATTAACAATTGTTTTCCTATAAACTAGATAAAATTTTCTTCAAATGAAAATAGAGCTTGTCATTGTTAAAACAATTTAAAGAGAACTTTTGAGCAGCTAAACTTGACTAAGTTCTGTTTATCCACATGTTTATCGTTATCCAACTGTACAGATGATCCACTTTTAGAAAAATTTCTTCGTTTAATAAGCTTCAAGTCCATATTAATTAAATTGAAGTTCATTTGGCAAATTCTTGAGATTTACCTCTAGTTGTGTAAAGAAATGTTGTGATTATGGGATATATTATAATAAAATTAATTACCTAAATACACTTTTTATTTGTAAATAAAATAATAATGATTTGTTAAATACTTTTCATGTAATGTGTTTACCAAATGGTATTTTTCTCCCAGATCTCTGTCAAAAGAGTTGATTTGTATTTATAAGTGAAAAAAATTATGTTTCTAGTCTTAAGAATTATGTTTTTATGATGTTGAAGCAATCAGCAGGTTTTTTTTTTTGTTAAACATAAATTTTAGGACTTATAAATACGGATCAACTCCTTTGACAGAGATCTGGGAGAAAAATACCATTTGGTAAACACATTAACTGAAAAGTATTTAACAAATCATTATTTTTTAAATTTATAAATAAAAAGTGTATTTAGGAAATTAGTTTTATTATAATATAAACTAGATCATGGAAAAAAACAAGAAATAAAAGCTTTGCAACAGTTAATTGTAGTCGATTTTGTTGCATTTTGTATTTGGATTTCAGGTACTATTAAGTGACAAGATGAAAAATCACAACATTTCTTCACACAACTTGAGGTAAATCTCAAGAATTTGCCTAATAAACTTCAATTTAATTAACATGGACTTAAGAAGCTTATTAAATGAAGAAGTTTTTATAAAATTGGGGTATCTGTAGTACAGTTGGATAACGATAAAAAAAAAATTGCCAATTTATGATATTTTTTAAAACAGAATTTAGTCAAGATTGGCCTGCTGAAAAGTCCTCTTTAAATGGTTTTAACAATGACAAGCTCTATTTTCATTTGAAGAAAATTGTATCTAGTTTACAGTGAAACAATTGTTAATTACTTAAATTAAATATCTCTTTAGTTATCGCTTCCTTTTCATCAAAAAGCATGACTTTCTTTTAAAAAAAACCTAAAGTTGGGTTTCCTATTTTTGAGCTTAGAATCGGCCCATTGTTTATATGAACTTTTTTGTCGGTCTTGAGATCTTCAATTACTCAAAAAAAAATTTCCCTCTTCTTACGGGACACCCTGTATATAGTAGTAAGTATATAGTAGTAAGAGCAAATGTCTCTTGACAAAATTGAAATTATTACTACACCTAGTTCTGCCATAAATACTGTTACAAAAGTAGAAATTTGTTTACATCCATGGGTATTATTTAGATAATCCTTATCTCTATTAGGCGATTTTCTTTACATGTCAGGATAATAATCCCAATTAGTTTGTATTTTTCTTTTGAACAGTTAACATGGGGTTGGGTGATAAAGGATACCGAATAGCTGTGGCCGCATTACACAAAGTTGGAAAATGTAGGTCAAAGATTTTCAACACTTTGAAATCTTTGGGTATCAGCCGTATGTTCGTGTACCGCACTATAAATAGATATAATAAGACCCTATCTGTATAGGACAGACTTCGACCAGGCCTACCGTATTGTGAGAATGGCAAATGCAGTGGCTGCTCGATTCAGAAGAAATCCCATTCACAAAAAACAAATCATGTTCTGGGGAAATGAGAATCTGTGTCAGATCAATGTCTCCCATAGTAAGAAGTGAAGAGTGAATAGATGCAAAGTGCTCCTTGACCATTACACACTGGTCTTCATTGAAAGATTTTGTTTAGTGATGAGAAAATTTTTACAATTGAAGTAACATTTAATCCCCAAAATGATCGTGCACACAGGTCTAAAGAAGTCCAGGAAGTCATTGGAAAAGTGGGAAGGGGTCATCGCCCTTCCTCAGTGATGGTTTGGTAGGGATTTTGCTTTGATGGCACCGCAATGCTCCATTTTTGCAAAAAAGGAGTTAAAACAACTGCTAAAAACTATCAGGATGATATTTTGGAACCTGTTGTCAAGCCTCTAAATGTACTCTGTTTGTTGGAAGTCATTGGGTTTTCCAGCAGGATTTCGCTCCAGCTCACAAGGCCAGGTCAACTCAGCAGTGGCTGCAAAAGAACATTCCAGAGTTCATAACTGCCTTGGATTGTCCCTCAGAAAGCCCTGATCTCATCCCACTCCACTAGATCATCTATCGGCTTTGGTCCGAACTGGAGAGGATGGCATGCCACAGAACACACCCTCACTTGGAAATCCTCAAACAAGCTCTAGTCCGAGCAGTTAAGCTCTTTCCTCAAGAAGTGCTGTTTGCTCTTATTAATGACTGGCCAGGGAGATTAAATATGTATGTCAAGGTAAAAGAGAGACATTTTAAGGAATTTCTTTTTGTTTTTCTCTCTATAGATATACATTTTATTTTCTAATAAAGTTTTTGAAAAAATTAATTTTTCTGTTGAAATCTGTATATATTTCCTTGTAACAATATTTATGACAGGACTAGGTATGTACTGAGATGTTTAATTTTAAGAAATATAGCTGTAGTTTGAAGTAAAGTTTATTATTTGTGCTTACAAATTTTCTTTTATAATTCATTTATTTTTTTTTAGCCACTCAAGCCAGTCTCGGTTAGCTGATCTTGTTGCTGAACATTTAGATCATCTTCATTACCTTAACGATATTTTAAGTTTGAACATTGAGGAATTAAATGATGTACTCATTGATCATTTATTAAATAAACTTTTTATACCTTTATATATATTCTCTCTCTTACCTGCTCAAAATTTAGGAAATCAAGTGAGTATATATATAATATATATATTCAGTAACTATTTAAATTTTAACAAAATATTTTACTGAGTATATTTTTATTAAAATTTTATATTGGCTTGTTCAGAAACTATATCTTATAACTTAAACTTTAAAATTGTTTTTAATATTTTATTTCACAAATTTTCATTTATAATTTTCTGCTGCCTAGCTTACAATTTTGTAATTGCCCCTTTGCTCTTCAACAGGTAGTGGTCGTTTTGTTTTATGTTGTTATTATTTTTATAAAAAATAAATAGAAATTATGTCTAGTTCCTGTAAAATATTTTTTTAAAATTTCGTTTATAGCAGTTACCCATGAATTTATTACTGTTTTATAATGAAATTAGATAATTTCCTCATTTAGTTTAATATAGTTGTTAATCTAAATTATAAATTGTAAAATACTTTGTTCTATTTTTTTCTAATCTCATTCTTTTATATCTTCTTTATTACAATAAAATTATTAAAAGTCTTCCATTGATAGCATATTTTAAATACATTTATAATTATTATTATTGTTATTATATTAAATGTTTATTAGTATTAACAGTGTTGATATTAATACTAACTCTTTACAGGTTAATATTAACTCTTTATAACGATCCCCATGATTTCTTTTTCTAATTTTTTTTTATTAGGATATCCTATTTAAAGTATAACGTTTTAAGATATTTGATGATTTTTTTATTATTTTGAATCGTTACTAAAGTGACATTGTTGATTTATCAAATATGTGCATTTCAAATTATTTTTATGATTTTAAATTATTCAAATGATTTTATATTATACACTTCTTCATTACCCATGCCGTCCCGTCCTGTTGAAATAACAATAAATTATTATGATTGAATAAATTGTGATTATAATTATGATCTTATTATATTGTGATATATTTATAATAAGTATAATTATAAATGTTATCATGGAAAAGATTTATTTTCTAAAACAATTAATATTTGCAAACCAAACTGACTAAATAAATGTTTCCAAATAATTACAAAATTGTTCACACTTTTTAAAATATATATATATATATATATATATATACATTTACTAACTAATAACTATGCAGAGTGTCTCAGTTTTAAATGGCCAAACTGTGGGAAGTGATTTCAAACAAAATGCCCAACTAAAAAGTACACTTGATGCATAGGCCGATTCCAAACGGAAAATGAGTTAACACCAATTTTGTGTTTTTCTTAAGATAGTCACAGTTTTTATTAAATAAGAAGCAATTACTCAAAAACTGTTCAAGATAATTAAATTAAATTTTAAATTACACCATCGTAAAGTAGACAACATATTTTTGAGAAAAGACTTGATTAAATTTATTAAGGTCAATTATAAAAGGGACTTTCAGGAGGTCTAACATGGCCACTGTACAGAAATTTGCTGTTTGTGTATGAATACTGTAATTATAGCAGTACAGTTGCTGTATTAGACCTTCTCCTGAAAGTTTCTTTTTTCATTGTCCTTAGTAAATTCAAAATCCCGTTTATCGTTTTATCTTTTTTAATTTAATCACGATTTAAATAAAAAAAAGATGAAAAGAAGGATGGTCAGGGGGATCAGTCAAAAATAAAAATGGCAAAAATAAATAATATTTATTTTAACATTTGCCAACGTTTTGACGTTTGAGTGCTTGCAATGCACCAGTATCGCTGATCAGTTTACCTGTGTGAACGGGAAGAGGCATTGTCTAATCAAAAAGCCTATCTTTCTACTCCTAACTCCCGCCGAAGCAATCACTTAAATCTTCTTAAACTCGCTCTATGAGTAAAATAAACACAAATAATTCCTTAAGTCGCCAGAGAAAATGCAGAGGCGTTTGTTAAACCTACTGGCACCAGAGAGCTATGGACAGATACATTAATCAAAATGTTAAAAAGCTTTTTTATTGGATTTATGCTATTTGATATAAATAAAGAAGGATTTTCTTGAACTGTGACATTCTTTATTATTAATAATGGTTTCTTTTTTAATTTTGTGTAGGAAAAAAAGCCTTCAATCAGTAGTGTGGTCTCATTGTTTCTACTATCTCAAGTCTTCCTTATAACAAAGCAGAAACCTTTAGTACATGATCTTGCTCAAGTAATTCTTCAAAGTACCACGGCTCATTGGGAAAATGGTTCTTTTGTTACTCAGGTATATATTAATATATTTACTTTAATTGATATACTTAATAACAATTAATAATAAAAACTTGAAAAAAATACGCGTGGAAAAACTTTATTTTTTGATGTTTCAGCCTAGCTTTTAGGCAATCATCAGGGCTATAGGCTATACAAGTGGCACTTGTTTTGAAAATTTCAGACGGGCCATTCTGATGAAGGCCTAAAGCTTAGGCTCTGTCAAAACACAAGAAAATAAAGATTTTTTTGAGTCTATTTCATTCAATTTTGATGGAGCTTCCAACAACTTTTACCAATTGATCTGTGGTTAATAATATCTTCCTTCACCTTTATAAGATTTATTTATTTATTTATTTTTATATTTATCTGTTTTTTATTTTGAGTAAAGTAATTTAGATTTTTTTCTTATTGCGTGTATTTATTTATATTAAACTTACTAAAGGGGGTAAAGTATAGTGCTATTATTTACTCTTGTGCAAGTCCCTGCTATGAAAACTTGCTATTTTCACCAATCTATTATTACATAGTTTTGGTAGTTATTATTTTTCTGTAAAGAATTTTGATAAGATTTTATCTGATCAGCTGAGTTAGTTGACTATTTATATTATATTATATTTATATTTATATTATATTAAATATTTCATTAGTTGATGTTTATTTTATAAGAATTAAAATGTGTAAATTTTACAGACTCGCCCTGTTTTTGTTGCACCCAAACAGTCATTAGAAGAATCATTAGATTCAGATAACTCTTCATCAGTAGCAGGTCAGTCGCTTTACGATTCCTAAAAGCCCTGGGCTAAACTTGTTAATTTTTTTTTTTTTAATTCAAAAATGACAGAGTTTTGTTAATGCAGATAAGAAAACTGATGACTTAGGAGAAGCTTTATCAAATTTAAATATTACTGATGAAGAAAAAGAACAAAGGTTAGCTCAAGGTAATGTGCTGTTAATTTTTATTTTGTTTTTATAAACTTTGTATGTGTTTAACATCTTTAGATTTGTTTTTTAATTTACAAAACTATTTGCTACCGGATTGATTGAATAAAACCCGGAAACCGGTTTAATCAGAAATTATTTCTTTATATTTCAAAAACGACTTTTTTGATTTTGTATTTAAGTGGAGTAAAGAAAGTTAAAAATTTATAAAAGGTTATCCATCCAGTATCAATTTCATAAAATTCCATTAAATAATCAAATTTGTGTCAATGTTAAAAATATAGATGTTGTGGAATGTGGTAGACGTGAAGTTATGTAATTAATTGGGAGGTTATATAAGTTTTTAAACAAAATGGGATTTATTAATGTTTTTTATTGACATATTCTATTTCTATTTATTTATTTACACCCTACCTTTCCTTACAGTTATAGTCGAAGTCATAGAAGTTGCATCACCTATTTCTTTTGATTCTTATGTTGATGATATTGATTCCATTGAATGTTTTTTCTTTTCTTTACTTATTTAGGTTACAAGAAAACTTTAACTATGTTTCTCACTTCAGTTTTAACTAATGCCAGGATACAAGCTTTAGAAATAATTCTTATTAGTAATTATGACCAGTTTCAATAAACTGTTCTCGTCAGAAAATATTAAAATTGTGACATTACTTGAAGTAAAGGAATTTTCACAGGAAATAGTAATGAGGATAGCATACCATCAATGAACGGTAGTCATATTTCTGAAAGAAAAGAACAAAAAAAAAAAAGGTACCATGGTGAGAAAGAAAGGATCTGAGAGGAAAAGAAAAGAAACGAACAATTTTATTGCTTAATTGCCATTTTTTTTTTTAGAATATCGTTTCAAAACTGGCATAGAAATATCCGGAGATCTTGAAGATAGCAATTTGATAAATGGCGTAAAATTTAATAACATTTTTACTGGGTGGTACAATTTCTATGACTATGACTATATGGGTTTTGGCAAGGGTAGTATAAAAAATGATACATCTATTAAGCTACCCCTGCCATTTAGAGGTTTTTAGACATCAATGGCTCAATTAAAGTTCTTCAAGTTAATACATCGAAATATGGGTAGTTCTCTTCTATCACGAGGAGGGGTAAATCACTTTCTGTGATGGTGTATATTTTTGTTTTCTTTTGTAACGTGTTCCTTAGCACTTCAAACACAGTGCAAGTCATTAGTACATGTTCAGCGGTTTTTGGAACGCTGCACCTGGAACATAGAGAATCTTCGGAATTCCTGCCTAGCCTTCTCTGTTATAGCCATACACTATAGCATCTTGGAACAGAATAAGGTCGAGAAGCATCCCTCCAACCAGATGTATTCTATTTACTTTAGAAACAAAATTAAAAGTTTATTGAATTATATGTGTATCCATATTCTAGTTTTCTTTACATAATGGATCTCCTATTAATGAAGTACATTATCTAGTTCTTCATTGGATGGAGAATTTAGTAAAAAATATTGAAAAGAGCATATGGTAATATGCATATAGTAGACTAGTATGGGTTAGATTTGACAGTTCCTTTTTTTCCAAAGGCAAAACATTAAGATACATCTATAGCAACGTATTCATTTTGATCAACCATTTTTGTCGTGTTCTGGAGTATTAGATAAACAAATTAGTTATGGTCCATTTTGGCAAAAACTGAATTTGTGAATTAGAAATGAGTTATAGCTAAGCATTTTATCATTTCATAAACCAATGTACCTCAATAGTGGCTGTCTCCTGGAATATTGATCCACAGGCTTATATTATTATTATTATTAAATATTTATAATTTAATATTACAACTGAAGTAATGTTCGACATTTTAAAACCAAATTATTATTTCTTTTCACAGAGAACCAAAAAGTGTTCTTAGAAGTTGTTGTAGCAAGTCTGGACTGCTCTGAAAATGACTATGCAGCTCTTTTCGCTCTTTGTTTGCTGTATGCAGTATCACAAAATTCAGGTATGATATTAATTTTGTCAGTGTTCCAAGACTATGTCAGGTCAGCTTTGTTTAAAAACCATAGTTTAATTAATAATAAGGTTATAATTGGAAAAATTCCAACCATACAGCCTTATATCTCCAAGATGTCAAAGAAAAAAATTTGTCAACGTTTCACCAATCCAGGCATCATCAAGACAGAAGAGAACAGCAAATTGGACATCACTCGATGACACTCAATCGAATAATCTTGATTGGATGAAGGGTTTTTTTTTTCTTTGCCTACATTTTGGAGACATAAGGCTGTGTGGTTGAAATTTTTCCAATTATCAGCTAACATTTATGCTCTGTCTCTTGGTGAGTTTGATTTATATTAATTAATAATAATTATATATATGATATATCTTATATAAAAGCAAAATTAATCATTTTTATTTTTCAGGCATTGATCCTGAGTTACTCGCTGGGTTTTTAATTCCGTGTGTTGCTTCAAAAGCACCCAAGTACAATAATTGGTTTGTTCAGAAGCTTATTAATATTATCAGTGATAGTTGTCAAACAGGTATGCCTTTATAGTATTTTATATAACTTATTATAATTTTGTGATTTTTATAATTTCGTATATATGTTGATTTTTGACTGACCATTTGATGAATCAAGAAGGAAATTGTCCAAAAGTTGGTCAGAGAAAGCTTCTAATAATTGTGTTAATTATTCATTAACTGTCAATATTTGACCAACATTGTAGGTCTTTATTAGGAATAAAAAGATTTAATGAATATGAAACTGTAGTAGGAATAAAAAAGATATATAAAATAATAGTCATAAATATGATTTTACATAAAATTGAAAGTAATACAGTTAAAGATAAAAAAAACAATAGTATTGGTTATAATAAATAACAAAAGAAATGAGTTTGGTAAAGTGCTGACAAGTAATAACTGATAAAATATTAAATAATTCAGATTAGTGTTAATAAACAAGAAAAGTTGTTATAGCTAAAAACAATTCTTCTGAATTATTAATAACTAACAAAGGAAATAGTGATAAATAAATAAGTTTAATAAAAAATAGATAAAGATATCATGTTGAAGTAAATATTGTAGGAGAATAAAACAATGACATCTTAGACAAGAAAAATTAAAAATTGTACAAAATAGAAGGAAAAATGAGAAAATCTTATGAATAGATTATAAAATGGTAATGAACTCTGTGGAAATGATGAAAATAATGAAATTAAAATGTGAATAGGATTAAAATATGATAATGAGTGAATTTACATGATCATTTGAAAGATGGAAACAAGTAGTTATCAGCAGAATAGTTGCAAGAGCCCTGAGGCAAACATAGACAGTTAATTGTATCTGCAGGAAATTAAGGTAGGAAAGGAATGGGTGTCTAGCGGAATTTTAACAGAAATATCTAAAATAATTATTAAAGATTGAAAGAAAATGTTAAAAATTAAATTCAATGCGGAAGCCATAATACTTAGAAATTAGGCATAAGAATATATCTATACAATGTACATAACTAAAAGTTATTTTTACAAAATAATTAATGGAAGTATCAAGGGTATTGGGATTACCTTTGGAAATATTAATTATAATATCTTCTTCTTTGTCTACCTCTGATGCCATTCCTAGCGTATTGCTTATGACTGTCTCCAAATAGGTAAATTCCTGCACAACCTCAAGTACCTCACCATTACATATCAGCTGGACATCTTCTTGGTCCCCTCTTGAAAGAAGTAAGATCTTGCTCTTAGATGTGTTGGTAGCCATTCGTTTGCGAAGGAGCTCTTCCTGCCATTCCACAGGGGCTTGTTGCAGTTTGTCTTTCGTATCTGCTATCAGTACGATGTCATCAGTGTACAATAAGCTTAATTGTAGTATAAAAGGAATAAATATAATGGTGAAAATATAAAAAGAAAAAAAATATATGAAATCGCTAAGTGAAAAATTATTTATTAAAATAATATAGAGTTAAGTGGTAAAAACATGGTGAAAAAAAATCAATACTAATTAACAATAAGGAAAAGGTTACAATAACTTAAAGGTAAGTACATGACAGAAAATTCAACTTAACATAAGAAAAGAAATGGGAGTGAGTACATTGTATGAGGCTGTCATCACACTTAGGTTCTAATTTAGCACTCCTGATTAAGAACCACTGAATCATTGAAATCCATTTAATTGAATGGTTACCACAGAAATAAAGTGGGTTTTAATTGAAATGAAAAGGTTATTAAACAACTGCATAGGATAGTTAATTTCTATATAATGTCAAATTCCGAATCTATAAAGCATTCTAATTCATGTACTTTATAAAAAAAAATTAAATTTGAACCTGTTTTCATAGTACGTTCATATATTTTTTACTTTTAATTTTTTTTATTTATTTAACAACACTTGAAATCAAAGAATAATTTTTCTGATAGACTTTCATTTTTATTAATGTAGTTTTTGTTATATTTTACAGTGAGTAAAGTTCGATTGGTTACGTTAGAACTAGCAATATGTCTCCTCTTGCGATTAGTGGTCCATGATAACAAGAGTATATTAAGTGATTCGCATTTCGCAATCCTCATGAATGCGAAAGAAGAAAGCACTGCCCTATTAAGAAATTATTACAAGGTTATATATTAAAATAATCTTGTTCTTCTTCCAACTTTATTTGTTAATAATTGCTCATTATTTTATTTAATTTTTTTTTGACAGAGGGAAGAAATGTTCGGAGAAATGTTTGAGAGTGAAGATGAAGAATTGCGTAAAAAGCCTTTAAATGTTGAGTGGCTGATGATGGATTCAAATATTCTTTTGCCTCCAACCGGTACTCCATTAACTGGTATAGAATTCGGAAAAAGATTGCCTTGCGGAGAGGTGAAACCCTAATAGCTTCCAGTTTATGTTATCAGGTTAATTTTTTTATACTTATTATTTGTTTTGTTTTTAACATTAGGTTGAAAGGGCTAGAAGGGCTATAAGAGGGTTCCTATTAATAAGAAGTTTGTGTTTAAAATTGTCTGGAGAAGAAGAAACTCAGTTGCCGCTTACTAATAGGAATGAGTGTATTCAAAATGACACTACTTTAAATCTCAGTAAGTTTTATTTAGTGTGAGATATTCAAAATATTTGTCCTACTTTAGTAGGTGCTTGTATGCTGAATATAAGTGAAATATTTAATGATTACAGCTAACAGTGACCTGCTTTCTTGTCACGTGATTGGAGCTGATGGTGTTCGAAATCATAGATTTTTGGTTGTGGAAAGTAATCAAATTATTCTGGTTGTCCCAGTTCCAGGACAGCTTGGTACTTATCATCATTTTTTTTTCTTTTTTTCTCTCCATGTTGTATTTAAAAGTTTCTAATTGATTTATTGTTAATCTTATAGGATACGGACGACCCAAAATGGCTGCAATGCTTCACGATCTGGATGTCAGTAACGACAAACAGGATTCGAGGTCACTATATATATCTGCAAAGTTTACAACTATTGGTCCGATGGTCAATACCAAATTCATATTTGACGATTCCATCCGTTGTATGGCCGCACAACAAAGGTATGGTATTGGTGTGGAACAAGTAATTATATCTTAAATTATTTTACCTATTTACTTTATTTTTAACTATTTACTTGACATATATGAAAAGAATCTTGTTTCCTCAATCATGGCCTGTAGCTATAACTAAAATATACGATACCTTAACTAAAACATCTTTTGATATAAATCCTCCTTGTGTTTCCACTTTGGGTCAATTGCAGTTGTCTCTGTTGTAGCTGAACCAAGGTATAATTTCTATACCTCAGAGGTAAAAGGTTGTTTTCATCCTACTCATCGCTTTGAAATTAATTTTTATAAAACAATTTACCAGAATTATTTCTTATCTTTAACCAAACTCAAAAATACAAAGAGAACGCTTACCCATTAATAGATTCATTTCTATTAAGAAGAAGACTTTGATATTATTGTCAATTGACTTTCGGCCTCCCTCGGTAAACATTAAGGGATCAAAAATAACTTTATGCTGCTGTCTGACACACCATATTTCTACCCATTATTAAGACTTAATTCCATACTAAATATATATAGTAAAATATTTTTAATGGATATGCTTACTTTTACCATAATATGGATATGTTGACATGTGAACTTTAACCACTAATTATGTAGAGAACTATTTAGATTGAAAATTCAAAAATTAAATTACTGAAAGATCAGTACAAAACTTGTTTTTTAGAAAAAATGGGCACCCAACCTTTCAGGTACAGATATAAATTGTAACCTATCAGAATTTATCATTTTGATATCCCAAATAAAAATATTATATTTAATAAAATTATTTATTTTGCATATTCAGTTACGTGCTGTGTTGTTAACATGATTAGTCTAATTTAATTATTTTTTACTGTTGTAATTTAAGTGATACATTATTGTTTTAGGCTAACAAAAGGAAGACTTAAAGCGAGGGAAGAAAAATTACGCCAGATGGAGAAACTATTGGATATTCCTGTTACTGATTCTCCATCTTATAATTTACTTCATCAGCTTCGTCATCATCACAGTACGGCTAAAAATTCTATGCTCATATAAAGCATGAAATAAAAATAATTATGTGCCTATATTTCGAGGCATTTTTGTGTCTTCTATTATTATTTCAAATTAGTATACACTTACTAAAGTTTGTGTTCAATGGCCAATATAAATTTAGTTGTATACCCTGACATTTTAGGGCCCAAAGTGAAATTATTTTTGAAGTCCCCCCAAAAAAAATTTGAAATTCAAAAATAATATAGAAACAACTTTAGTGATTGGGTTTGGGGAGTCCTCTATAGTCTCATTTTGGTATGCTACTTTATAAATGTATGAATTTAAACTTGGTATTTTTAGTCTCTGTTCTATTTTTAGTTTTTATAACAAACATTTTAGTACACTTGTTTTTATTAGCATCTTTCCAATCAAGATTGATAAAATCTTTAGAATTTCTCTAGCCCTTACAAAATCGTTTTCTCAAGTTTTATTAAATACTTTGTTGATTTTATTATATTATTGAACTGATCACAATTATTTTTTGGCTCGTGATTAATCTTAAGGAATAATTCTCTTTTTCAGGATCTCAGGGTGGAAGGTCTCTTTTTTCACATCGCATCCCTGGGATTGCTACACCTGTGCGTATTCCGCCTATCAGCCCTAGGAGCAGTAAGTCTATATTAATATTGTTGATCTTTTTATCAATTATTTTTTATTGACTCCTTACTTGCTTTATAAATATAATTTACTATTAGTATAAATTAATAACAAACTAATTAAGAGACAGAACATAAATGTTAGGTTATAATTTGGAAAAATTTCAAACCAAACAGTCTTATGTCTCCAAAATTCAGGGAAAGATGACAAACCTATCAACGTTTCTTCAATTCAGTCATCTTCAGGACAGAAAAATGCGTTTGGACAACACGGAGTGATGTTCAATTTTCTGTATTGATGATGCCTGAATTGGTGAAATGTTGACAGGTTTGTTTTCTTTCACTGAATTTTGAAGCGATAAGGCTGTGTGGTTTGGAATTTTTTCAGAATAATGTTAATGGTCACAAAATATCAAGAGTATAAGATCTATTCCCTGCTCGTGAAAAAAATCTATTAAAAAAAATTAATTAAACAGTATTTTAGATCTTAAGGATCAATTTTCATAATTCTATTCATTAAACAACTATGTAGGATAGTTAATTTCTATATAATGTCAAATTCCGCATCAATAAAGTAGTCTATCTCCCTGCATTATTATATGGCAGCGAAAGCTGGATCACCCAAAACAAACACTTAAGCAGGATTACGGCTGCTGAAACAATATTTCTATGAAGAATATCGGGAAAAACTAGGAGAGACACGTTAAGGAATCAGAGAATAAAACAGGAACTCCTCATCAGTGCCCTCAATGAAAGCAAATATTGAATGCCGACAACTTCAGTGGTATGGGCACATACGTAGAATGGGAGAAAACAGAGTAACATGGAAATGTATGGAAGCGAGGCCAACTGGCAGGAGACCATGAGGTAGGCCTAGAATATATAGCGACTAGGTCAGGAAAGAAGGAAAATCCTAGTTCAGATGAAGGAATTAGCGAGAGACCAGGATGTATGGTTGAAGTGGCTGAAGATTCCTCCACGCTGAAAGACACACAAGGAGGTAGAAGAAGATTTTCTATATAACCCTAAACATATATATATATAAGTTTCATTGCCAATAAGTGTTATGAATTTGAATTATATTTTTGGTAATGTTCTTGACTGACAAACAGTAAATTTTTACCAAACACTCCATCCTATATATATCCTAATTTATTTTTTCTATTTCAATAATATGTATTCAACTTTTTTTCTAATTGTTTTTTGAGTTTTAGAAATAACAGTCCTTGCCTTTTTTTCAGGCAGGGAAGGTGACAAAGACAAAGGTGACAGCAGTTCTGCAGGTTCTCGATCTAGGGAGAGCTCACCAAAAACACCCAGAGGGTCTCCAAAGATGCCACGACCTAGAAGTGAAGAGATTCAAATGGAAAGCATTTCCACTAAAGTAAGTTTGTCCACCAGCAAATTTTTTATTAGTAACCAAGTCTTGTAAAAGGATCTTTTTTTGTGTGTATCTATTGGAACAGCCTAGCTCAAAAACAAAAAGTCATACAAAACTAAATCATGTATTTAAGGTTTTTATATGCCCAGGATGTTACCGCAACTTTTTTGTTGAATTTGTTATAATCTGCTCTAGCGACTTAGTACATATTTGAATCCATAGACAATTCATCCAATATGTTCTAAGATAATGGTTTATAGTGATTTAATGTATCAATTTTTTTTTCAACCTCTACTAATATTTTCACCTATATACCTTGCCTAATCAAGGAGGTTTTAGTCCATCTCCCATCAATTCCAGCAGTTTAGTACTTTTGATTCTCGCATGCATAACGTTTGCATGCTACTATACCTAAGTGATGTTCTATGCTTAAAATCTTGTTGATTGGTGTTATCCATGTAGTAATAAAGTACTGCGTGTTTTTAATTTTTTTTTTAATGTATATTTCACAGAGAGGAAGCTTAATATCATCCACCTCCTCTTCTGTTACGCAAGAAGAAAGTGCATCATGCGAGGCAAATGCTCCTGAGACAGCAAGTTCGACTGAAGTGGCATTATCTAATAAAGAAACATCATTTACAGATCCCCCAACGGAAAGTTCGAATATTAAACGAAAGGGAAAAGTTGAAACTGTTTAAGAACCCTGAAAAATAATATTAGACTCGTCTTTAAAATATTTGGGCTGTGATATCTTTCCTATTCTACGTGACATTCATTTATCCTTGTTATAGCTTTTAAAAACAGAAAATAGTTTATTATTGTTAAATATTTCCTTTTTTTACTGTTGCTTTGTTATAAACATTGTTATATTAAGATTTTGTACTAATGATTTATTATATTATTTATTGTTCAAAATCATTAATTTTATTCAACCTGAGAATATCATTAAATTATTGTTAAACAGATACAAGATAATATTGTAAATTCTATCGTAGATTGTATTATTGTGTATCTGATGTTTATATTTTAACTGTCTCAATTTGTGAGAGGTTTAAAATTTTACATTTTGTCATACTTTTTTTATATAAATATTTTATTTTATCAAATTTTTAAAAAAAAATTTAAAAATATCTGAAACATTATTTTAGTAGTTTTAAAACATTTCCCATAGCATTTACCTCTAAGAATTAATTTTCAAAGCATCTATAGAATTTAATGGAAAAACTTGCTTAAGGCATTCTGTGATTTGGAGTAGAGATTAAAAGGTGAATTTTATTTTTTCAAGTTGAAAAAAAATATATAATATAAAAAAAAAACCTTTGAATCTCTTAAATCTTCCATATTCTCAGGTTAATTCTACTTTATTTTTAATTTGTGGTTTATTTAAATATAAGTTGATAATAAAATGTAGATTTATTTTAAATAAAAAAAATATATATATATGGATAAAAAAAAAAGTTTAGTACATAATAAAACAGTGGCATTTGTTTAAAAATTAGTAACATGAATAAGGGTCAATTGTAACACTGAACAGTAACTTACAAGGTGAAAGTTGTATATCTAATTGTTAGTTTCATATTATTTTTTTCTTCTTTATTTTCTGGTTTTTATTTTTATTAGATATGTTAGACAAAAAAATAATGTAACATGGGATAATTTAAAAATTGTGGATATTTTATATTGGTTAAAACTAAATTTTTTTTCTAACATTTCATTATAAAAATAGTAAATTGATGTAACATAGGGATATTTTTTTTGTTTTATCTTTATGTATAATAGTGGTGATTATTTTGTTTTTTTATTATTATTTGAGACAGCTATCATAAATTTCACTTTATTATGTGATATAATATACTAGTCCACCTAGCAATAAACATATTAACATTTCAAATAAAATATTATTTTATTAAAATATAGTTGTTTTTTATTCTATTTGTATAGAATCCTTTGTTGTTTTCTTAATAAATCAAAAACTATAATTTTTTAAGTTCTGGATCAGTTAGCTCCTTTAAAAAAAGTGGCAATAGAAAATATTTTATTTATCTTTTTGTATAATATATATTATATTATATTGTAGCTTTACATCCAGTTTCTCTCGACCTTGGGTTCCACAAACACTGCAATCTAACTCTTTCTATTTTTATTATTTTATCAACAATAGAATCATCAAAGAGGTCATAGAATTCTCTACTGCCATGAAGATTCATTGAAGGAACCTCTTTACTTTCCACTTATCTTCATATGACATATATAGTAAGGAAAAATATTGCAATCATAAAAATTTTGAATTCCAGTTTTCAAAAGAAATATAAGTTTTATAATCCCAATTTCTAATAACCAAGTTTTATCAATAAACAATCTAGATCAAAAATGGTATGCCATAGTGTAGTGCAAGTTCAAAGTTTGACAAAGATGTATATGTATATTATATTATATGTATTTATACATGAAATTGTTGAAAAATGAAATGGAGGATCGAAAATAGAAAGTATAAAATCAGAATTACATAGTTAAGTTAGTTATACGCCTCGGTCTGTTGCAGCAACATTTTTGCTGAATTCTATTAAAAATAGATAACACATTATCATTGACTTTAAAAATTGTTTGATTATAGATTTCATCAAATATCTCGCAATTTCGTGTCACCTTTATTTTTTCAAGTTTAAGAATTTATTTGTATTTCCATGATTAGTTCTCAACCTAATTAAATTTGATTCCTCACTGCTTTCCAAATATTCACCAATAGAGGCTAACCAACATTTTAAAGAGATTTTTGTATGGATCAAATAGTGGTATATTGGTCTCTACCTTTGCTTTGAGACTCACCACGTTCATATAAATTCTGCCATTCATTGACAATTGTTTTACTTAGTGGACAGAAAATGTCTGTTTTGGGACTTGAGAATTAATTCTTATTGCATTGGTAATATCTCACAATTTGATCTACACTTTCATTAACATGTAGACCCAGATCTCCTGAAACCCACTGGAATGAAAATTGATTGCTTGATGTGGAAATTAAGTCAAGAATTTTATACAGAATGTAATTGGCGGTTGGGGTACTGTGTTCATTTTGTAGACATTGGCATTCAGAGGCTGAATCTGTAAGAACTATATTAAACTTTTTATAGTGTATGTTAGTATGTTCTGCAGTCTTAAAAGCAGCAAAAGCTGATGATTAAATAAAAAAAAAAATAAATTCTAACATCAAGTCGTGGAAGAAAATATAGAGTGACAAAAAATCGAATAACTTATAGTTGTAATTAATAAATCCTACTTTAATATTATCAGTTGGCAGTGGCGGATCCAGAAATGTCCTGAGGTTGATGAACTTGCAAAACAGTTGAATTACATATACTAAAGGTTTATATATATATATATGAAAATAAATGTGTATTTTAGTATTATTGTTTTGTATAGTATTTTTCTATAAAATTGTGGTCAAAATTCCTTAACTCGATAATTGACACCTCTGAATCTAAAACATGGCATTTTTCTCACTAATTCAACTAAAAATAGTTTAAAAGAGTTCACAGCACTCTAGCAGCTACTCTCACCTACAAACTTAAATCAATCGTTTTTGAGTAAAAAATATAAATAAAAAATATTTGTTTAATACAATTCACTTTTCGATTAAAATAATAATAATAAAAGTGTCAGTTGTTTAGTTCTTTTTTCAAAAATTTTCCTTACGTTCCAGGAGGAGGGGAAGGCACCTTCATCCTTACCTCTTATTATTGCTTAAAATTAAGAAGGTTAATGTTGAGCAGAAAGTATTTATTTTATAAAGGAAAAAATTTTATTTTAATATTCTAAAATCATTTATTACAAATATAATAAATCATAAAATTCTATATTTTACACAAGTTGATTTTAAAAAGTTTTATAAGTCCATTCTTTAAATATATATATTCAGTATATTTAAGGATAGTTGTTTAAAAACTAAATATAATTATGGATTTTTTCAAAATTATCAATTCATTAAATTTTATAAGGCAAACAAGAAACATGTTACAAACTAGCTGACCTGGCCATGTGTTGCTGTGGCTCATTCTGGTCAAATAAAAAAGAAGTAGAAAAGAAATTCGATGTTTCTAATATATTTTATGTAACAATACTTGTGAATATGTGATATTTTTTGTTGTTTCATTCTTTGTATAGATATAGAGATTATCTGTTTTTTCAACAATAGAATTTGTAACATATAATTGTCTATATAAGAAGCAATAGGTCTCTAAATTTCCCACGAAAAATTACTAAATGTTTAAAGCATTATATCTCTGCAACAAATCGTCCGATTTTAGTGATTTTTTTTATTTTTCGATTGCAATGAAAATTTGTATTTGAGGGTTTATCGAGATGTGAAAGAAGAATCTCAACTCCGTTCCTCATTAAAAAAATATTTGAACCCATTTTGCTCCTTGGGCCGTTTCATTTCGGAGATAATTTTTTTTGCTTGGGTTGTTTTGTTTTTTATCATTTTCTAGAAAATAAAGAAAGCTTTCAAACAATAGGTACAATCAAACAATAATTGTGTACTTTTTCAGTTATTCGCAAATATAATTTTGAACACATCGTTGTTTTTTTCAAACTCTTTTCGGTGAAGGATGTTATATACATAAATTGAAAGGGCTTCAAGAAGACTTTAGCCAAGTTTAATTAAAATCTTTACAGCCGTTTAGGCGCTACAGTCTATAGTGACACAGGTTTTTGAGCCGCCATTCCGAAACAAAAGACCGGAGGGTGATGAAATGTATATAAAAACATACCTGAATGCAATAGAAACATTATTTCAATATTTCAAAGCGATTGGTGAAAAAGTTTCGGAAATTAGCAGTTTTGAACAAATGAACATTTACGTTTTTATTAATATAGATGGGATATACATTCCCTATAGATGAACTTATACAATTTTTTGCCCCCACCTGTGTGCTTCTTATTACAAATATATAAATTTTAAATGCATTCAAAAAATTCAGACAAAGGGGTAGCAACTCATAAAAATTAATATTTTTTCTTTATTTAAAATCAATGAGCTTGAAATAAGCTAGCATTAGAGTGAAGCATTGATTAAAATACTGAAATAACATTGTAAATAATTCTAAAATTAGCACAGAATGTACAAGATAATAAATTAAACAAAAATATATACACAGCTAAACTTTAAATTATTTAAGCTTACGGAAAGAAATGTAACTGTTTCTATAAATAACATTATGAAGTATCACAGTTTCAACTTATTATAACCTAAATAGATGATATAAATACATATTAATATACAATATAAATATTATAATCTTAATATAAATATATTAGTTAAATTAAGTATATTACCAATAATATACTCTATTTAATATATGTATTAACAATGATATTTCATAAATGGACCATTATGTATTTATGATAGACATATTCACATAAGTAGCGCATTTTTTTTCTTATTTTATTTGTATTCTAGATGATAATTAACTAGTAAAAATTTGTTTAAAAACTATGTTTTAAAAAATCAAATGTCAAGATAATACAGAAAATATTTCAGTCTCATAGTTCAAATACTATGACTAATTAATAACTATTAACTAATGAAAGTACTAAAACATTTATTAGTAATTGAAGCACATATTTTATTTTAATGAGCTTTAGAAACATTAATTATAAAGGAAGAAACTACTTTATCTAATTTAATAAATAATAATTTCATTTAACAAAACATAATAACATTTAGAAAACCCTGAGAATATTTAATAACTAAAAGTCAAAGAACGGTCATGAAAAAAATTGATAAAAGGGATCATAAAATATATCTGTGGCACCTGTGCATTGTGCGTTAAATGCAAACAATATATTTTCGTTAATATGCAATTGAAAGTTTGTTATTTTCACAAGTGTAAGTTTGATTTTCGAGTTTCAACCCATGATTCACAAAGGAATATTCATCTCTTTAATCACCCCATAGCTTAGCCCATTATAAACAAATAGAAAGAGAAAAAGTTAACTCTTTGGTGATATAAAAATTGCATTTATTACACTATGCACAGATGTCACAGATATATAGTCTTGATATAGTTTAATATCGAAGTACGTAAATCCAATATTATTACATTAAAACTCATCAACCAGGCCCTGATATTTAAATTAAAATATTTAAAAATATTTTTGAAAGAAAAATTATACACCTTGCAATATCATATTTATCGAAGCTGGATTAATAAAAGTTTATTAGCTTAAAAGCAGCTCATTTAATAAATAAAAAAATACAAGAGAACTAATAAATATGTTTGCCATAGTCTAATTGCAATCCAGAACGAAGGAAAGGCTTGGAACTCAAAATTATTAATAGTTAAAGAGTTTTAATAATCTTAAAATAAAAAAAACATGAGAAAAAGGAAAAACTTCTATTATAAAATGTTATTAAGAGCAATGCCTCTTTCATTCAGGATATGCAAAATAATAGAAAACAGTAACACTTTTTTATAATGCGTCCCTTAAACTTTGGTTAGCCCAGTCATGAATCTTGAACGACCCGATTAATGACTCGATTTTGCAAAAGAAGTTAAAGAATTTCTTTCGTAATGTTTTCTTATTAAGGCATTCTTTATTTCTGGGCTGTGGGTGAAGATTATAAGAAATTTTACTGTACTTAAATAAAGTCTTATATCTATAAAAAAAATTAGCCACAGGTCATATTTTATTAAATTCATAGAAATATTAAACATCGAGCATTGTTTTTATTTTTTTTTATTTCCATATTTTCAGATTTCATGACCCCTAATAGTAAAATAATCAGGCTAAAAAAAAAATTGTATCAGCAATATATTTATTAAATGAAATAGGTGAGTGAGTAAACAGTGCCTCTTCATCAGAATATACATTTCAGAGGAAGTATTAAATATCTGTGAACAAAAAATAACTATTAATGAAACATAATCATTGAATTACTGAAATAGGGATAGATTATAGGAAGAGAATGTAAGATCTCCAATAGTGTAAATGCAGCCACCATGAGTTTTTATGCATATTTTATAAATTTTAAAGCTCTGATATTAAATAATTTTTAATTATATAGATTAAAGCAGTATTAACATTAAAATTTATACATATGTATAAGTTTAAATTTAAGAATATAATTAAGCAATAAATAAGGTTGCTATTATTCATAGACATATCACAAATACTGAATCAGTCCACCCTTTTCTCTTTTTTTATGTACTTCTTTAATTAAAAAATTGTTTTATATTTTCTATCAACTTTTCTTTTGGATATATGCTTTAAATTATTATTATTTGTATGTATACTTTTTTTAATTATTTGCAAATCTAAAGAAACCAAAAGATGAATAATTTTAAACATGATAAGCAACATAAATCCTAAAGAGTTATCATTTCATAAAATAAAAATCTTTACATTTTGGCAGTCCTACCAAGATCACTTTTAATTTGATACAAAATAAAAATCTTTATAATATATGTGCAAAGGTTTTTTGAGTTCCTGTTATCTTTCTATGTTAGACCAAATATAATATTCTGTCTTTCAGGCAGTTTTGATTTTGAACAATAAAAGCTATAGTTCAACCTCGATTAGTTGGTACCCCCAAAGTGAACTCATGTGGTGTGATGAGTTGAAACTAGCATTTCGTTTTTTCTTAAACCCTTCCTGACTTTACTAAAATATCATCTTTCAATATCTAAATATATTTGTGAATAGGTGATAAATATTCAGGACACAGTCATTTTTAAGGAATTTATTGGTGCTGATATTTCAACCCAAGCATGTGAGTCATCATCAGGGAGTGTTTCGAGCACTGAAGGCATTTAGATACAGTAACAGTGCTCAAAACATCCCCTGATGATGAACCAGCTTGGGTTGAAACATCAACACCAATAAAATCCTTAAAAATGACTATGTCCAGACTATTTATCACCTATGATTTGTTGAACAGTCGACTAACTTCCTACAATATATTTGTGAGTAATTTGTAAGTAATATCGGTGGTTTAGAGATAAAACAAAATATGAGTTTCAACTTAATACGGCATGAGTTCACAACCAGGCTGCTAATTTATCGTGGTTGAACTATGAATTTAACAATTCATTGTTTATTGTTATCAATGAATTAGAATTTAAATTATTATATTAAAATATAACCCTTACCAGAAGCTTAGTATTTAACATAAATACAATTAATATTGATTCTTGAGAAAAAAATGTAACTTTTTCACTGATAACTCCTCAAACTAATTTTCTAATAAATTAATTTTGAAAATACTGACCAAATATAAATTAAGTACTCTTATACTATTAACATTATTGAATTTTTTTTGTCTCCCCTCCTTCGCCATTTTGGGCAACATGGTGTTTTCCCGGGCAGGAGAGAGCAGGAGATTAATACTAGTGTTAAATGCCACTGGCATCAGGACTCGAACTTGTGATCTTCAGATTATTAGATTGTCAGGCAATGTATTGACTGCAAACGTGTTAGCCTGCTCTGTTACAATGTAACTGTTGACATTCAACACCATTGTAATATTAAATTTAACAAATTATGATTATTAACCAAACGAATGCTACAAATAAGGACAAAAAATGGTCCGGACGTGGATTAAAAAATCTCTTTATTGAATTTGCCAATGTATGTTTTGACCCAAACATATGGGTTGAAACATTGGCAAACTCAATGAAGAAATTTTCTACTGCACATCCTCACCGTTTTTCATCCATATAATTTCAACAGTTAACTATATACTCATATATAAATGTTACAAAAATTAATTTTTAGTAAATTATGGCAAAATCATTACGATATATATGCTTAAACAAATAAAAATAACAATAGTTAAACATAGAAAAATATAGCAGACTCTATTACCTCTACCTAAGCTAAATGTGCCCTCTAATTATAAAAAGGTTCCCACCAAAGAAGTAGATGATGTGATTCACTTACTTTAGTTGTTAACATGCCTTTTAAACGAAATCTGTTATGAATTGAATTACATTAAAGGATTGGTCAATATGAACATGAGTCAAACAGTGTGATAAGCTAAATTAATTTTTTTATGTACTCAAAATTTTAAGAAACTAATGGACTATTCATTTTTAATCAATAAGACAAAATGTTATCCTTACATGTACAACATTACGTATGGTCATGGTCATAAAGGATATTTTTATCAATTCAATTTCAGAAGAGATTTAGAAGTCCATAACGCTTTTGCTCCTAGAGGACATGTCCATAGGTATTTGTAAAGATGTGAATGGCCTCTTGGATTGATCTGCAGATATGTCAGGAGGCTGAATTTCTGACGAGCGACCATTGTACCTAAAACAATTAATCAATCCTTGAAAAATAAAAACCAATAATCAGAAAGCCTATTACAGTGAAATCTTCTCAATAATAAAGAAAATGCATGATTTCTAATCTTTACGCAAAGGCAAAAAATTCATATGTATTCAACAAGGTTTATTGATATTTTAGTGTTCCGTTCGATGGAAAAGGTTTGGAAGTATGTATCCCTCTTAATACAAGTAATTCCTTGCAGAGGCTCGGTGTTGGAAGGTAGCATATGCAGACAATGGCAGAAATTATGATTTTAGACTCATTAGGAATACTTCATTACCAACTTTATTGATCTTGGCCTTCACTTATTGATGTATTCTAATGACCCAACCTGACTCTCTATTCTTTTTTTCTAATATTATCTATTGATTGATGAGTATGCTGTGTGATTTAGCAACTCAACACAATTGAGCAGCTGTGTGATATTATTGTAGCTCTCTCTACATCTGATAGCCAAAAAAGTGCAATTTTTTTTTCATTAACACCAGTTAGTATAGATAAAAATCAACTTACGGATGTTGGAAAAATATCGATACATCAAAATGTTGATATTTCAATAAGATATATCAATATTTTTGTCTGATAGTTTTTATATCTGGGAGCAGGGTAGCTCAGTGTGTAAGGCACTAAGCTCCTAGTCCCAAGTCCTGGGTTTGATTCTTATTGAGGCATAGAATTATTGATTCTGCTAAATCGGCCATGGATCAACAATGAGAATTAGAAGACTCTGCTCCGACACACCTAACCTTTATACAATTGGTAGTCTCAATTAAATAATTAATTAAGGAGAAAACTCTCACTGTTGAATATGATTTCAGTCAAATTACCTCCTTGCACAACCTTTTCTCAATACACAGTACTTCGTTATAAGATCATGAAACCCTCAACGGGAAATAGTGATGCAGGTTTAATTTTTATATTGATATTAAAATTAAACTATCAAAAATCAATATTTTATATTAAAAAAATCTCCTAGGAAAGCCACCTTGTTGGTAAGCACAAAAAAATGATAAATATTGGTTTAATTAATTTTGTTCAGTTTCTCGTTTGTCATTTGATTTTCTTTTATTTTATAATGAAAAGAGTCATCATTAATTCAATTTTAATTAAAATCTTATTGAATTTGTAATATTATATGATCGTAATAGATTTGTAATAATCTATTAACAATAATAAATTGATATTTTATTTTGAGAAATATCCTCATAAACATATTATTATTAACCAGATAAAAAAATCAATTGAATTGCTTAAATATAAAAAAATAAAATTAAAAAGGATAGAAGAAAATCAGAATTGAATGAATTACTAAAAATCTACAAAAGTATTAACACTTATAATTAAAAAGACTTGTTACTGATAAAAATAAAATTGAAAAAGTTTATTTGCCTATTTCGAGTGACGGATTGATGAAGAGTGTGATTGTTGTCCCTTGAAAATATTATGGTTCTGTATGGTATGTTTGTTGTTTCACCTGGCTTAGAAGGATCTAGGATTCCATTGTAAACCAATAAATCATCCACCAATATCTGCAACATTAAACAGTAACATTGGTATTTAAAAAAAAATAATAAAACACAAGTAATGAGTATAATAATAGTAATAATTCAAATTCTGAAATACCCCAAACTCTTTCACCCCTCTTGATGGAGTTTTTCCATAGTTCCATATCTTTATCATCGAAACAGTGGTAAGGCAATCAAATGTAATATAAACGTTGTTGACCTTAAACAGACAGAAACATAACAGTTTTTAAAAATTGTTGGAAACTAAATGTTGATTTGTGCTGTACAGCTTGAAAAAAAGAAATCAATGTGGTATAAAGCCAAAATTAGTTATAATAAACTTCAGAGGACCTTAAGGTAAAATTTTGTGCTTCATAAGGGGTATCTTCTATATTAAATGTATCGTTTATAGAGAGCAGTTCCTTATATTATATTATACCCAAAGAGCATACTATGTATAAATATAGTGAAATTCTCATTATGCATGATTAATTAAAAATGATTTTCAAGATTTTAAGAATCTGAGAATTCTAACCTGATAAATGGTAGTTATAAATGTATCTTTATTTTAACTTACCTATATATGTAATATACAGTAAGGAAAACTATTGTGATTGTGAAAATTTTTGAATTGAAGTTTTTAATGAAAATACATATTTTGAGGTCCCCTGATTCCAAACAATCAAGTCCCAAAAAATGATCTCTGTATGTGTGTGTGTATGAACAATCTAACTAAAAAATGTAAGGTCTTACGAAACTGAATTTATTTATTTAAGGTATATAAATATATACCTGGGATGTTACAGCAACTTTTTCCTAAATTGGCCAACCGGAAGTGCCACTTTATATCATTGATCTTACAGTTTTCTCAAAAATGGCTCTAACAATTTTGATTAAATGGTAAATCAATGTTTAATTAACTGGCCTTTAATATCAGCCAGGTCTTAATCTCATTGATGTCTCTTAACAGATCTTCTATTCCTTCCTCTAAAGTACCTTTAATTTGGCTTATTTTAAATAACTAGCTGTTTCTCATTGTCAGTAGCAATAAAAAATGGCTGAACATAAACTATGAAAGAATTTTATAATTCTCAGGTAGACGAATTGTTTCCTGTTCACTGCAAAAAACTCGAAGGATCTTAAAATTTGTACTTTACAACATTATAAATGGTTGCACTTTATAAACATTTTCCTATGTATTTTACCCAACATTAGAGGACTGGAGATTTCGTACGTTTGTTTCCTTTAAAACAGTATCATTATAATCGATTTTGGCGATACTATAATTTGTATCAATCTTGATCAAGTTATTAAAAAAAATGTTTTTTTTAAACTATGAAAACTAAACATAAACTGCTAAAATTAAAGTCCTATATTGTTTAAACAATAAATGCTAAATATAAATTAAATGTTTCAGCAGTAGTTCGTTATTAAAATGTTTCCTGATTTGGCTGTCATAAAATAAAATTATCAACCATAGGCAAATGTTTTTTCCACCCCTACATCGCCTTTTAGATTATAAGGGAGTTTTCCTGAGCCAGAAGGAGATTAATTCAAGATTTTAAAGCTCCTCTGGCACTGGGACAAGAACTTGTAAATATTTTTTATGTTATAAATAAACATCAGTTTATCAATCAGTTACGAGGCAATGCGTGTTTTCATACGCATTAGCCTGCTTGGCCACTCCACTCCCCTTTATAGGCCAGTCAAAGAGGTGAGTATCACAGAAACTGACTCCAGGACTTTGTTTGGACTAGTTAAAGGTAAACGTACTAGCAGTCCCCAGATATAGAGAAATAATCAATTCTATTCTAACCAGAGTGGGAAGGTTAAGATTCATTCCATGAGCCCATCAAAAAATATGCCATCGCTAGACTCAAGAATATTAAAGTTTATGCTTTAACAAGCTTGGCCATCACAACTTCAATATATTCCTAAGTTTGGAAACCTATATGTTTACTCCTTAATTGTTCCAAACAAAGCTCTCGATATTCGCCAAACAGCCAATTAATGATTAATGTTTAATCCTATAATTTACAGAATTGTGAATAGTATATTTCTTATTTGTACCAGTTTAAAAAAAATTGCATAATACTAACAATGTTAGGTAGTATAGGAGCTAGCCACATATTCTGCCCATCGCAAGTATTGTTTATTCCATTTACTAATTTATCAGGTGTTCTAACATCATCACAAATTCCTCCCAGAGTATTTACACTAGAAGGAAATGCAGAAATTTCTATGGAAAAAAAAGAAAGAAATATGTGAATATCAAATAGAACAGAATGAAGATTCTAAAATTAAATTATTCGATAGCTTACGATCTTCTGATATATTGATTACTTTCCCCGAAACATCATAGAGTTCAATTCCATTCAAGCCAATGTAATAATTATCAGCCCATGATGACATAAGTTGGAATTGAAAGACAAACCCTGAAGGCATTTCTGGTGGTTCATACTCTTCAAAGCTTAGAGGTACTAAAAAGTAAAATACATATAATTACAATTTTAAGTAATGATTCTGGTTTGAATTACAATTAAATTGGTAGAATATTGTAAAACAAACCTTTTGAATTTAATAATGATTTCAAAAGATTGTCTACAGATTCCCGTTTTTTTTGTTTTTGATTTAAAAGTGAAATCGTCTGCTTTATCATGAAGTGGCAATGCCCTGGAGCCTTCCTTATTAAGACGTCTTCGTTTATAAGTTTGTCATCCAGGAAAATGTCAAGATTCTTCACCTAAATAGTGATTGTTTCAGTAAGGGAATTCATCGATAGTTTTTAATAAATATATGCTAATATCCTACATTTGTTACATAATACACTCCCCATCAAAAGTATTGCAACACCCATAATTCTCAAAATTTTCTTGGTTTTGACCTTAATCCATACTTTGTTCATATTTATATTAATATTATTTATTAAATGAGAGACATTAGGGATTAGACACATCATTGTTATTCACTGCTTACCAAAAAAATAATGGAATTTCGGTTTATTCATTTCAAATTTCCTTTCAGTCCTTGTTTATCTTTTGTTTGCCTCATGTTTGTTCTCTCTTTTCTCTTTAGTTTAGTTATTACTTTTTACAATGAATTCTTTAAGCTACGATGATTTGGTCAGAATCATTGGTCTCTCTGAAGAAGGCAAATCATTGCGTTACATCGCTAATCACCTTGGAATTCACTATTCTTCCATTTCAAGGACCATAAACAGGTACAGGAAGACTGAGGAAATATAAAATATGCTAAAGGCAGCAGTATTGGAGGAGTGGAACAATATACTCCAAGATTTTCTTCAAAATCTTTTTAAAAGTATGCCAAGACGAGTGGAAGAAGCAGTCATTCAAGTAAGATGGGACAATACATCTTATTAAATGTAAATTAAAATTTTAAATTGTAATAATAGTTACAATTGTAATAAAGGAAAATTTTAAAAAGTAAATTTTCTAACTTATTGTTAATTAGAAGAAATATTGTAATTTATTTTAATAAAACTTATTTATGACCAGTTTAAAAATGTTTATTATAGACTTACGAATCTTTCTTTATTATGAAAAAACAGATGTTTTTGAAAAATTCAAATATTTCAAAGTGTTGCGATACTTTTGATGGGGAGTTTATAACCTTAATTAAAGAAGTAGTAAGCTATGTACTACTTATGAACATTTCATAAAAATAGTTATAAAAACAATTATAATTGCAGACAATGATGAAATTTAAGAGGACATTTCTTGTTCTTAAGATAGTTGGATCACATCACAAGTAAATTGAACAAACAATAAAGTATAGCTCTCCCACAAAAATAATTTAGGCCGAGAACAAACTCAAGCAGCATTACATTGAAGATAACTTTTTTTTTTGCTTATCGTTCGATTTTAATTAGATAAATAATACTTCAGTGATTTTTCTTATATTTAAAAAAATCAGATTATTTCAGTCTAGGTATGGTTCTGTGACTAAATAATAAATAAAATTTTAATTAATTTTGTGAACAAGTCCCTTTGGAACAAAACTACAAGAAACCAATTGTGGACTTTAGAGTCTCAGAGTAAAAGAAAAAAGGAATTAAAAAATAAATATAATTTAATAATAATAATAACTAAAAAAGAACAATTAATTTATATAATATTTACAATGTTTCATAAAAATATGAAATATGTTAATAATATTCCTGATTTTCATTCGTATGATGAATAAGTGAAAACTAATATTTTTGTAGTTTCAAAATATTTTGAATTGCAGGTATAAAAAAGAAAACAAAAAGTTCAGAGTAAATTTTACAACTGTTTGGGACAGGAAATAATTGAATAACTAGTATTCAATTATTCAATAATAATAAAAATAATTAAGATAAAACAATTGGAAATAACTACAATTGGATTTAGCTCCAAATGACTAGTTCACCCTGGTGACAGTCGCCATACAAGAAATTTGACACTGAAGCGACACAGGCTTTTATATTGTAATCTTTTAATATATAAAATTATTTTAAAATAAAATTAGAGAGATGAAGCAAACGTTAGATTTAAATTAATGTTAGTGCCATGAGAGTTTGTCCTCAGCTAGCAGTAATAAATTACATCTACTGAATGTTCCATTTTCAAAATACAGTTTGGTTAAATTTTCACTGATATGCAGAGATTACCGTAAAATAATGTCAAAAAATTTGAACAGTATAGTACATAAGTAAATAAAAATATATAACAATCAATTCAATAAATTAATCGAATAAGTAAATTTAAATGTCAACTTCAATTTACCCCAGCATAACTAAGTTCTGCACTTTCGTTGTAATTCCAAATTGCGATACCTGATATATGAAATGGTGTTGAAAATTTAAGTTTCAAATTAATAGCCCTTTTGTTGAAATTAATTAACCACATGTTTCTGTTATCGGTAGTTTCATTAATGCCATTTAAGAGCCTAAAAAACAAAAAAAGACGTACATAAACATATTTTATTTTTACAATAGTAAATAAATTAGTATATATAACTTTGCAACAAATTTTTAAGTTTGCTTATATATTTATAAATAAATAGCCTTACGAAAAGTCTAAAAACAGCCACAATGTTATTCATTATTCATTTTAAAAAATAAAATATTTTTGCTAATATCCAAAAAAATTATGATAAAATTGAGTTCTGTGATAGATAAAAGATATTTTTTTATAATTATAAACAGTTTAGAATGTAGCTTTCCAATCAAACATGTACTTATTATTATCTGGTCTGTTTAATGCCAAACCTTACCGAAATTAAACCTTAGATATCAAAATAGTCCAGTTAATTGATACAAATACATACACTGATTGAAATTGGAACTATGAAGAATTATGCTTGAATAAACTGTGGGATGATTCTTTTGTGGGTGTCTAGTCATTCAGATAACCCAGGTAATGAAAAAGCTGATAGTGGTGCTACCAAAGCAAGAGAAAACATTGATTATAGATCCATTAAGATTGATCTAGTAACTACAGAAAATTTGACCTATGATATTTATTACACATGAATTTTTAAAAGAATGGAAAAACACTACAAAATTGGATGAAATCAAAACCAATAATTCGCAAATGGAAGACGAGCAAGAGAAAGTCAAGGTGGGAAGAAATTATTTTATGCCGTCTTCGTATTGGTCATTGTAAATACTCTCACAAATATCTTCTGTAAAAATTAGATCCACCCATTTGCAGAGAGTGCACTATGATAATTACAGTTAAACACTCACTACTAGACTCCATTAAATACAAAACCAGTCAAACCTCTGAGCTAACATGAAATCTCAGGGAACTATTAGAAGATAACGAAAAGAACATTGAAAAAATTAGGAATTTTTTTTTAAATTATTGGTATGTATCAAATATAAGAGAAGTCAAACAGCATAATGCTTCTACCCCATGGGGTAGAGACCAAATAAATAAATTACATGATTTCATGTTTAACTGTGATTAAAATAACTATAAATCAAGTATTACGTAGCGTATTGCAGTTAGAATCTTCTCAAACCAATTACTTTTCAAATTTGTCTGTAGTTAGAACTATGTCACACTCCTAGTTTCTTTATTTTTCAACTGATGGCATTAAAATTCTTTTGGGATATAGACAACTTTGTTGTGAATGATTATTGATTGAAAACTCACAATTTTCCTAATTTTTTTAGTTAGAACCTTTTTAAACTAAGGCCACGATTAGTCAAATCATTGTTTTTGGGTCAAGTTTTCTCTGGTTGTGCTCCAAACCGACCCCAATTTAGTAAAAAACAAAAAAGTATAAAATAAAAATGTTAATCCAGATAATCTACTGTGCTATTTGATTGTTCTGATTTCGTTGTACTGTTTATAACTATGATAATGTGATATAATTCTTACATAAAAAGTTCCATCTCACATATTTTAATCAGAATTTTATTTAGTAATTGATTGAAAGGAGTAAATAAACAAATATTATAAGGACATACCTCTTAATGTTCTTACCGAACTGTTCAGGCTCAACACCCAGGTCTGTTATTGAAAGAGGTTCGCCAGTCTCGCCGAGGACTTCCAGACCAGTGAGACCTATTTTATTAATACCCCAACTGCTGCGGAGCCTGATGCTCATGGAGTTAAGGCACAGTACGGCTCCTCCTGTTTCATGAATATTTTGCAGTTTTTTTGGTCCAGCACAAGTCAATGGTCTCACATCCTATCATTTACATATTTATAAATTAATAAATCACTGATATTTAAGTGATTTAAGAAAAAAAAAAAATTAAATCGACACCTGACCAAAGTTTTATAGGCTATTATTATGTAATTCAATAAATAATGAAATGAGACTTCACACAACTATGGCATACAAAAAAAAATTAATGAATTATAAGTGACATATAATGATAAGTTGAACTACTAAAAGAAAACAGATTTTTAAAATTAGTGTTATAATATTTCAGTTACATTTTTTCATTCATTCTTACTTAACTTTCAAGCGGGCACGGAATGCACCAGTCTTGGTTTTTAGGCAGTTAAATCTCTAGAAGTGTCTGGATGCCATGGAAACCGCATTTATTTTTTTATCTAACCCTTATTGTCCTTCTGCTACTCTCATATCTGTCTCTGACCATAACAACCCCCAGTACCTTTTCAGATTGCTTGGAAAACTGTTGTGGCACATATTTGTTTTTTTATTTTCAATTTCTGTCTTGTCAGTAGTCTTTGTTTTATACTCTTACAATATTTGCTTCTACACAATATCTAATTCAATCTTTTATTATTATTTTCATTATTATACTGCCTGTTATTATACCTTACATTAATATTGTTCATCTTAGAATTTTATTACTTCCAATTTTCTTTATATTCATATTTATGTCAGTTCCTTTTTGTCAATTTTATAATACAGCAATAGTTTCACCATCTTTATATCTTCCTATTTATTTCTGAAGAAGGACCAATGTGGATGTACCTATTACGGATACTTCAATTTTTCGCTCATCTCCCAAACTATATCCTTAAAATTATTTTACTGTTACTGATGTTCTTCAGCTGCTCGTCATTTCTATTTTGGGATCTGAAGATGGTTGTTATCTTTTGGACTGTGTCATCACAGAAGATGAGGCTTGGTTCTCTGAATTTGGAACAGTTCATGATTAATATAGGGCTGAGAAAAAGCTTTGTTTGGTCATTTGTTGCAATAGAGAGCTTTAACTTTCCAGTGGAATTATTTGCAACGTCAGTAGGCGGTGCATGGAATACAGCATGCCTTTTTGTTGGTGATTAATGTTTTTTTTTTCTGTTGTTTAAATTCACTATTTTGTACATTAATATGTATTTATACAATTTCTAATAGTATTTATTTACATAAAATTATTCTAACTTAGTTTTTTCTGTTGTTAACTTACAATTTTATGATTGCGAAATAAATATGTTTACTTTTTTATTTTTTGTATATTCAGCAGTATAAGGCAGGATATATTAAATAAAATATATAAATAAATATAAAAATATTTCATGAACTTTAATTTAATAGGTTATATCTGATGGTAAAAAAAATAAATATAAGTTATGCATACTTCACTATATAAGTTTGATTATAAAACAACACCAGTTTGATATAAAAAATGTAAACAATAAAATTTGAAAAGTGACAAATTAATCGTAATGAGACTTATTTTGCCGATGACACAAAATGCACAAAGGCCCAATTACAAGATGGACTTTGCAAGTGTATTTTTACATTTTTCATAATATTTGTTTTTTTTTTTCCTTCCACAAACATGACATTTTAAAAACTTCAATTCAACCATAAGCACCAAAAATATCCAAGAAAAACTAAAAGTATAACAATAGTAGGTACGCAGCAAACTTAAACTTAAGATACAAGGGATTATAAAACATTAATAAATTTTATGGAGGTATAAGAAAATGAATAAGATAAAATAAAAATAGGATAAAACAAGAGATTGAAGTAAATCAACCAACATCACATTATTTTATTTTTTCAGTTTTATATATGAAATTTTCAAGCAAATCTCTTAATTAAGTGTACTAATTTAAAGAAGACTGAATGCCCTATAATGATAAAATGTCTTCTCAAATATGACCAAATCCAAATTTTAGAACAAAATCAAATAAATATGATGATAGATCAATAATACCAAGTGAGGATGCTACTGTGTGTAATAAAAGAAAAAAAAAATTGAAATACTGTTGTTACATTAATGATTTTATTACATATGTATGAAATGGAATAATTTTGAATCATATTATTGCAAAATTAGGACAGTTCTAAATGATTAAATTAATAAACTTAAAATTCATTTTGAGAATAAATTATATTCTAAAACAAATAACAAATTTGAAGTATAATTAAATTATTTTTCATTGTTACCCCTGTATCAGCTGTCAAAGGCCTTTCAGGTTGTACCGAAGCTGTAGAATCCAAAACTTCATTCATGACACTATCAAATGAATCATCATGCTGTGATACCCTTTCCAGAATTTCGTCATCTAAAGTGAATAGTATAGTCTGGAAAAATGAAGTCAATATAAATGTTTTGTGGATTTGAAAAATATTCAAGATTTATGTCAAGTTATAGTACAGACATCTCCAAAGGCGTCTGTTGCACCTAATATTCCACCACTGGCTCTAGCTATTTCGCCTTGAAATATTTTTTTTCCATCTAGTGTAATTACCATATTTCTAACTCCACGATAGGAATGTATTCTAGATTTATTATAATTCTGAAACAAAAAAAAAAATTATAAAATGGATTAAAATAAGGCATATTAATTGAAAATAAATAATGCTCATACCCATATTCGTATCATTGCAATAGTTTGGACTTGTTGAAAATTAATAGTTACATAATGGTGCTTTCCTTCAGTAAATGGAGTAAGCCAAAGATGCATATCATCTCTCGTACGATTAACACAATCAATAAGATTTCTCACAACTCTAGGATCTTTATTGTACTCTGGAAGAATATTAATATCTGCCGGTTCTGCAGATATCTTAAACAAAGAAAAATAAAGATTTAAATAGATAACCATAATTATTATTAATTTTTTTTTTTTTGGTACAGAGAAAAAGGAATTTTTGAACTGTTTCAAATCAAAAATTAATGTTATAAATGGAAAAATCCAAATTATAAAGTCATTATTCTCTGCCATGAGTCAGGTTAACTATTCGCCTGTATATTAGAGGCTCCTGGATTTATAATTTGTATTTTTCCGTTTATGACATAATCACCTGTCTCTTTTATAACTATATGCTTATTTTAGTGAAAAAATGCAACACTTTTTAAAGGTAAATAACATATAAACAAAGTTGTGGGGATTTTTAATTTTTGTAATAAAGTGTTAACAGTTTACAAATTAAGCTTACTAAATTCTAAATGTGGGCAGTAATTTTTTACTAGAACCTGTCATTCATCAGTTTTGAAACCTAAACCAGTCTAGCCCTGCAATTCATTAGTTTCCAAAATGTTATTTGTAGTATTAAAGTATTTTTTACAGTATTGCTTTAAAACTGCATTATATAATTTTAAAAAAAACAAACAATCAATCATGCAAATAATACTATCTATCTTAAGGGATGGAAAATCATGACTAATTCAATAAGTTTCAATATTCACAGACCCTTACTAAAGACCCACTTACATTTTTATGAAGAAATACATAATTTTCCATCCCTCAAGATGGATAGAATTAATTGAGTAATATTTTTTTTTAAATTAAAATATTTTTTATTTAATTAAATTATTTGAAAATTATCAGTTTTTAAAGTATTAACAATTTATTTTCATGTTACAGAGGTACAACCAAACCTATTCTAATCAGAAATTTTTTTTATAAATGTTTTGTACTGAAATTGTGTCAAAACAATCACGGGATCTCACTGAGTAATTACAGCTGTCAAAGTTAAAAAGCAATAATATAAATCTTCTGACAGAACTTAAATACTTCATCAATAACAGTTATGATAGACAAAATTTAAAATATCATACTGTGGAATAGTAATGATTAATTAAATTATTGGCTATCAAATCTTAATTCATAATAACAGAATTACCTCTGATACGCTGACCAATTCACCAGTGATGGAATAAATTTCAATACCATTAAGACCAACATAATGTCTATCTCCCCAAGTAGATGTTATATCTAATATTAGCTCCTTACCAACAGGTAGTTCGGGTATTATAAAATCTGAGTTTATATCAAGTGCTGATAAATCTATGGTAGGTTCTGCAATCAAATCTAACTCAAGTTCCTTCTCTTTATTTCCTGAAAAAAAAATTAAATGATAGAGTTTAAAAAAGACTAAGTCAACAATATTCTCTTTAGTGAAATTAATTTGTTTTTCCCCCAAGCCTGTAATATCTACGTATTTAGATCTTAACAGATAAAATTAAAATTCCAGGAAATATAATAAAATTGAATACTTTCATTTAATATTCAAACTATTTGGTTTCTTATTGGTAACAAACCATCAATAACAAAGCATGGAGTGGCTACAGAACACAAAATTCAAGTTTCAGCTTCTGAGTTTTTATAGATATCACAAAAAGGTTCTTCACCATGGACCAAAATATTCTATTCTATTAGAAAATAATTCAGCAAAAGATATCTAAACTACGTAATTAGTTTATTCCACCATACATAAACTTGATGGATTCTGGTTTCATATTAGAACAAAAATTATTTTTAAAAAATCATGAAATTCTATTGTAGGAAGTGTTGAAATTTTATTTAGAAGGCCATTATGGTGATGTAAATATTGAAAGAAAAAATTGATATTATTCGCATGGATCAAAATAATAACTTGAGATATTGATATTAGTGGAACCCCAAAGCTCATCTCCGTATGTCCAAATAGGTCTTATTGTAGTCATTTATATGAGTTGTATGCAATTAATTTAGGAAGCTTAGAGTGTTTGTCTAGTAAGTGCTAAAGTAGTTGGAAACGTCGAACGGTTTCTTGTCGTTTCATTCAAGTATGAGGATTCCAAGTTAGCCATTTATCCAAATGGAATCCTAGGTATTGGATTTGTTTAATAGGGAAAAGTGGATTATTATCTAAGTGAAAAAAAAAAAATTAAAAACGTATCGCTGATATATATAAAAACTAAGATGTGTGCTTGCAACCATACAGTAGACATGAAAAAATCAACAAGGCGAGGTTAATAATATGATATATAAATTATAAATAATAACTCATTATAGAATGAAATGGTGAACATTTCCCTTGCTTTCATTATGCAGGTCCGATTTTCAGTGTCTGAGGTATTTTAATCCATATCTTCAATAAAACTAGTTATCATTTGCTTTTTGTCACTACTTTATTCTTTTCTCCTCTCTAACATGGCATCGTGTTAAGTTACAATTTTTAATAATAGCTCACTATAGAGAGGATGAAATGCTGAACACTTCCCTCGCTTACCGCATGTAGGTCTGAGTTTTAGTTTCTGAGATATTTTAATCCATATCTTCCATAAAACTCGTTATCATTTGGTTTTCGACATTAGTTTTATCTTTTCTCCTCTCTAATACGGAATCGTGTTAAGATACAATTTTGAATATACTAGCCCATTACAGAGAGGATGAAATGCCGAATACTTGCCTTGCTTATAGTATGCAGCCCTGATTTTTAATTTCAGAGATATTTTAATCCATATGTAGAAACGTTTCAGTTAGTCGATCCTAGCCGATTTACCCAAGTGTTAAAATCTGACAGCTAACTCTAATTCACTCTACACAAAAAAGTGAAAAACGGGCCTAAAGAAGTTTTAACTTCAATTATATTTCGATTTTGTCTCCTCGAGTAAAGTGATCAATGTTTCGAGATATAATGCTGATATTCATGACCCAATCAAATAATTATCAACCTTAAATATACAGTTGACAGATACTGATTTTTAGTTTCTGAGGTATTTTAAACCATATAGAAAAACACTCCAATTGGTCGACTCCAGCCAAATTTACCCGAGCATTACACATCGGAAATCTGACTGCTCAATCTAATTCACTCTCCATACAAAATTGCAATTGCGAAAAATTGCATAAAGAAGTATTCCTTTAAAAAAAAAATTAAACTAATATTTCTCAAGTATTGTGTTTACAATAATCTCATTCTCATGTGCCTACTAATTAAGTTACTTTCCTAACAGATATTTATGATTTTATTTATTTTATTAGTTAATTTTTTTTTTTTTGTATGACCATAAAAATGGGAAAAATTGATATTTTTCAATATCTTTAGAACATTAACACAAGTTTTATAATGGCCCCCTTGATAAAATCTTCATTTTTTATAAATATAATTCCATAAATATTTTGTAGGTTATTTTTGAAATGTAATAGTATTATTTTAACTACAGACATTGTTGATCAGATTTTGATCTTGGTCACAATAAAAAATAATCATAAGTAATTTTAAAAAAATATATATTCACCATCAAACTGAAAGGATATTCTTCCTTTATGATTTTGATTGAATATGTTAAGCGAGGACCAACTTTCTTCTAATTTATTTTCTGTTGGAGGTAAGTCATCAATAAATTTCGGGCTTGGGCTGGTGTAAAAGTTGTTCATTAAAGGTCTAACAGTATGTCCGCTAGCTCTAAAATAATTTTAAAAAGTTATACAATAAGTTTTTTTAAAATAAAAATAAATGCATACAATAATAATGAGGCAAAACTATAAAAACCTTCTTGAATTAGTTTCATATTCATCACCCAGTGAAAAAATTGTGGGAATATAATTCTCTTCATAATCAGATAAAGTATTTGCTCTGCTTTCTTGTTCCCTAAAAAAATCCTTCGACTGAAAACCTTCTTCTAGCAAAGAAAGGACACTTTCTGATGACGAATCCATATCTGGTAATGGTAAACTGGCATTGCTGTCTTGTCTATGAAGAGAAAATTGATCTAAAAAAAGATTATAACAAATCCTGAAATATACTATAGAACCCATTTGTAAAGTAAACAATATTTAGAGATGAATTTTGATTGACTGTTATGAAGGTTATCTTGGATGACAGATAGTCAGGATTTTTATTCAGCATGTGTTTATTATGGTTGCCGACATTGGTTTATCTGTATTATTAATATTTTCTCTTGGTTCATTTATGTAGTTCTGGCATTATATTATAGTTCTGATTTTATTTTAATTCTTGTTCTGATGATGAATCACAAGCTAAGGTAGGAAGATCGGAAATCATAATAAACACATTTTAATTGAATATACTTATTACATATCATCCAAGATAAACAATATCTAACTTTATAAATGATAATTACTATAAACTATATGGAGAAAACATTACTCTAAAATTAATATAACAATTTGATGAAGGAAGCAAAAAGAAAAGGAGTGACTGACTTATATATGGATCTGTGACATAGTTCTCTATGGAACAAAAAGTTGTTTCTGGAAATCGTAAACAAAGAAGTGATTCCAGTTTTTGACTGAATTTACCAAAAAATATGTAAAATGTTTTCATTTTATGGTACTTAAAGAAAAAATTAACATTATTTAAGAATAACTTAACACACTTTTCTGTGACCGTAGTCATAATAATTCCACAAAAATCTAATAAATGTCTAGTTATAAAAGAAGTTGTTGATAAGAAAAGCATTCCTTGAGTAAAGGATTGTGTACTTAAAGCTATTGGTTGTTTTAAAAAGCTTAAATGCATTGAGTTGTTTTTAATTAAAGCAAATAAAAATAAAATAAGTAAGGAGGAACATGCAATTTATACCTTTGTCTTCATAGATTGATGAATCATAACCAAAATTCAAATCTATGTTATCATTAATAGAGGAGTTATCATATCTTGCAGGAGTCGTAATAGCACGTTTAGGCTCATTTAAAACTCGTTGATGTTTTGAAACAGGCTTCCAAGACTGTGGTCTTTGTCTGGTATTTACAGGAGTCCTATTTGAAACATAGAAATAATTGAAGAAAAAAAAAATTTACTTTATAATATATACTTATATAAAATTTACTACATATCTATATCTATATATATATATATATGTGTGTGTATGTATATATAAATAAAACCATACTAAGGAATGTAGGTTCCATACTTCTACATATCCAATACAATAGAACACTTAATGAAATGTTTTCTATTTTTCGTATGAAGACTGTGCGTTAATAATGGTGTGCCAAACAAAAAGTTTCAACAATTTTAGGTAAGCTAAATGTCATGGGCAGCAGCCTAAAAGTCACAGTCATTATTATTATTCTGTCTTTTAGCCATTTTTTTTAGGAATTTAGCTTGAATAAATTGTCTAGCTAAATGTTTTTTGGTTTGTGTGTTAAGTGAATAGTGTACCTGTGAATAGTGTGTTAAGGGCAAAAATCATATTTTTAGAATAAACGCAACTGAAAGTTTGGAATTTGCACAGGTGCAAGTTCAATTTTCGAGTTCCAGTCCATAATTCACAAAGGAATATTCATCTCTGAGATAGCCACATAACTTAGCCCATTAGACACAAAGAATGATTTCTGTCGATAATCATAAAAAATCACTTAAATGTTCGGTTGTTCTGCTCTGGTATGATACTTTTGTATTACTAATCAAGAAAGTTAACTTCAATACTATCATTTTTATGTATCATAAGAAATAAGGCTAAGTTTTACAAACTGTTCTTAATCAGAGAGTTTAATCAATGATTTATTAGAATAAAGAAAAAATAACATCATTTTTAACATTAACAAGAAAAGATTAAAAAGTTGTTTAAAAAAGGGATATAAGGTAATTTAATGTTATAGAAAAACATATATTTTGAAATAACAAGATATTAGGTATAATTTTATATTTACTTACACTGTCATTTTAAGTAAATATTTTATACTTTAAGAGTGATTAAGCTAACTAGTAACTCAAAAAAACAACATAAGTTTATTCTATAAATGGAGAGGAAAACTTTATTATTATTAATTATACACAAACTTTCAAACACCTAAATTATTAACTTGACATCAATTAATTGACCAGTTCAAACATCAAAATATATTCACCATACCTTGTCCATTCCTCAAACCAAAAAGGTAAATCTTGATGTGTTTTCTCCATTTAATAAAATGTAAACAATTACGAACATTTACATACAATGTTAATAATTAAAATTCAATTTTATTTTAATAAATTACAATATTAATTAATCTGCTGAATCTCATAGATTCGATATAAGCGTCGCGTATTAAACTAAAACTAATAATACTTCTTAATAAGCGCATAAGCTTCTATTAAAACATTACTGCTAAAAATATTCAATCTAAATCAAACGAAAAAAACAACACAACTTTAGTCAGGGAATATACATTTTTGTTTTCATAATTGTTTGGTATGTAGCCATGGTAATAAAAGGCTCCACATTGACTTCCGCGTTTTATGTCTTCACAGGTATGTTTAGTTCACTTTAATATTATCTCCTTTAATTAAAAAAAAATTGTAATATTCTTTAAATAAAAAAATGATAATATTAATCCTAACATGATGTTATATTAATTTCTCGACTAATCTCAATTTCAAAGAAAATGTAGTCTTCAGTAAGATTAAAATAGACAAAACGGGCAATGAACCCGTCAGATTTAAAATCTATTAAAAACTTTGGTCGACTAATTGAAAATTAGAATTCCAAGAGTTCAAGCTCTATTAGTTAAGGAGTTGGCGTAATAAAGTTACTCTTAATAAAGTATAAATTTGATTTGGATATATAAAGCTAAAACGGTTTAAAAAACTTCAGCACAAGCGGATCTACGGGGGAAGGGAGCTTTCGGGTTGATGTCTTCACGAAGCGGTAAAATATATGATTTTTTAAAAATATTTGTTTAATATTTGTTTCATAAAAAATATTAAAAAATTAAATCTGAAAGTTTTATTGTTCGTGTAATTACAATGAATAGGACTTCAAGAATTAACTATTTCATATAGGTAGTTCGGATCTTTAATCTTCTTGCAAAGCAACAATCGTTATATACATATAAAAGCTTTCGGGCTGAAGCCCTCCTCTCCCCCCCCCCAAAAAAAATTAAATCCTGGATCCATTAGTGAGCTTCATCACTCGGTGTTTTTCGAGAATAGGCTGAAGCTTATCACTAGCGAATCCAGGATTTAATTTTGGGAGAGTTATATATATATATATATATATATATATATATATATATATATATATATATATATATATAATATATATATATATATATATATATATATATATTGGATAGATAGGATAAACAAAGATACGGCTGAGCTTCATGCAGCAAACTGGAAAGCAGTAGCCCAAGATAGGCAGAGGTGGAGAAGACTGGTTCAGGTGGCCAAAGATCTACAAGGTCTGTAGAGCCAACCGAAAATATATATATATATATATATATAAAACGATAATTATTTTGAAAAAAAAGAAAGGAATTAACTACCCATATGAAATGGTGATTTAGTGATTCTTGAAGTCCTATTAAATGTAATTACACGAACAATAATAGTTTAAAAGATAGTTTTTAATATTTTTTCCTATAAAACATGGTTATATTTTACCATTTTGGAGGGGGGGGGGGGGCTTCAGCCCAAAAGCCCCTCTTCCCGGTAAATCCGCCTGTGAATCTGATGTATAGTATCATCAGTAGTAAGATCAAAATAAATTTTAGAAATAATTATGCTACATAAACAAATACATAAATATTTGTCGACAGGAAACGATGTAACGCATCTAAAGGATTGTGTACTTAAAATTGTGTTCTGTGATATTAATGACTGTATAGTTGATCCCTGGCCATTTTTGAAGTTATAGAAGAAAACCTATTATGATTGAAAGTAAACTATGCTGTTGGTACGGCAAATAATAATAATAATACGGGGGGCTTTCGGGCTGAAGCCCTCCCAAAATGGTATAATATTACCATGTTAAAATAGAAAAAATATTAAAAACTATCTCTTAAAGTATTCTTGAATATTTAATAGTTGACCGTTGCATTATAAAGGAAGGAAATGGTCCGGGGTTGCGGTCATAAATAGGCTAAATAGTGGTAAAACTATTTTATTGAAAGACCTGCAAAGTCGGGTCGAAACGTTGGCTTTCAATAAAATAGCTTTACCACTATTTAGCCTATTTATGACCGTAACCCCGGACCATCTCCTTCCTTTTTAAAGTATTTTTGTTCGTTTAATTACATTTAATAGGATTTCAGGAACCACTTATACACCATTTCATATAGGTAGTTAATTTCTTTCTTTTTTTTAAAAATTATTTTTATGAAGATTTATGAAAAAAAACTCTTTCGGGCTGAAGCCCCCCCCCAAAATTAAATCCTGGATCCGCTAGTGATAAAAAGAATAAAAATAAAAATACAGGACTGAACGGCTGTCCGGCGCCCATAAGATGACTTCATAGTGAGTCACAATTAATTCATAGAATATAACTTACGTAGAAGTGTACAATGGCAGTGACAATCACTGACCTATCTTTTCATTGTTCTATAACAGAAAAGAAAATAGGTTTGTATTCAATACTCGCCCAATTTCATACGTATCGAGGAGGAGAGTTGCCAAAAAGGCTTAATGCTAAACGAGCGAGATACGGTTCTCCTGGTTTGAACAAGGGTATATTATATATATGGAGGGTATATACACTCAGGTGGTGGTCGCCGCCACTCTACATAATTTGAAAGAAAATAAAACATAATTTTTTTTTTTCTGTTGCCGTTGTCCTATGTATATATTGCGATTCATATACAAATCTTCATGAATTGTAACATCAATTATTTATAATAGTATTATAGAGTTTGAAATCATTTATCTTCTTGAGATTTTTGTTTATTCAGTCTCCCTCGTAACATGAAAGCTACAAATGTCCTTGGATTTGGTTGTTAAATTAAAGTAGACTGGAGTAATGAGTCTTATCTAATCAACTCTTCACACTCAGGAGGATCTCAGGGTTTGTACAATTGGCAGATAAAGAAATTTCAAATTTAATTCAGAGGAAATTCAGTGCCGGTCCTAGGCTGGAACAACCAGGGCGATAGCCTCGGGGCGCTGATCTTCAGGGGTACTAATTAGAAATTATTAAAAAAGTACAAACAATTTCTAAATAATTAATTTTAGCCTATAAATAAAGCAGCTGTATCAGAGAAATGTTGACTGAAATAAATTCAAATATTATATAATATAATACAGCTTAAGAAATAAATAAATTTTTTTTTAGGGCAGGAGGGAAGAAAGGAAGATGACATCATTACCCGGGGGCGCCGAATGTCTAAGGCTGTCACCGGGAAAATCATTCGATGCCAAGAGAAAGAATGTCCATCGAAGATCCCCGACCCAGAAATAAATCCAAAAGGCGTCTCTTTTCCCAAGCGTTCATTAATGGATTATTCGTCAGGTTGTGGAAAAACCGTATGAAACAACAAAGAGATTTCCTCCTTGCAGCTAGTATGGAGATATAAATAGTAAGAAATAATTGGAAATCATCTTGGCTAATGGGGATGAGAGTGAAAAAGGATCACCAGATGCAGAGGATATCGAGGAAATAGTTGAGAAGTTGCAAAACTATAAGGCATTTGGAACTGTTTAAAATAGCTGGTAGTGAGGTTGCTAGAGATTTTGCAGGATCTGGTGGCTCAAATATGGCAAGAAGAAATAATCCACATAAAATGGAGTGAATGAATTGTAGTCCCAGTTTATAAATTAAAGAGAGACTCAACTAAATGTGAAAACTATCATAGAATCGCCCTTTTTAACACCGCGTTTATGAAGACCCTGGTATTCTCCATCGCTGTATATAATAAAATAATGATGTTTAAACAAAACATCTGGGCGCCTGGTTTTCCTCCGCGGCTCTGCAGACAGTATTCCTCTTCAAGACAATTAAAAACTTACTTTGACAGACCAAATTATTTGAGTATATCAGCAATCAATAAGTTTTAGATCTTCACGTATAAGTATTATAGAGCATTCCATAAATTTTTATAAATAAAAATTAGAGATATTTGAAATTAAGACATTGCAATGCCATTCCTTTAAGAAAACTAACCCCTACCTTAGCAATAATTTCTTCTTCGTGAAAAGTTCAAATTATAATGATGTTTCATCATTTCGACAAATTTTGCGATTATTGAGTAATAAATAATATATAAATGACTGACAGACGATTAGTGATTAAGACCATATGATGAGATTAGCAATGACTCATGGGAGTCATTTTTGACTTATCCTTAACTGGAAATTGAATAAATGCTCGCTCATACATAAGTAGTAAGAGTCCATGTGTTTCTAAACATTCAATTCTTGCTAATGATTTGTAATTTACTTCTATTAACATTGTTATCTAGAAATAGTGAAATGTAAGTTCCATGTGTTTGTTACCTTTGATTAAAATTAACCAAAATGAAACCTGTTTGTCATCGTATTAAGATGGGTGCAATGTCAACCATACTACTGCTCTCGGGTGGACAAGGCCACCTATCTCACAGTTGACTGTTTGCTCTCTCCGTTCATAACAAACAAGGCCTCATTGGCTGGAGTGACCATGAATTGTCCGAAGACACCCGATGCTTCAATTACTCTGTTGGGATTTGGGAAGAAAGATTTTCAATACTAAGGATTAAATACTTACCAAACCTACCCATTCGATGTCTCATCCCTTTATAGGGCAAGTGAGATTTAGCACCACTTAAGGATGACTGGGCTGGTGTACACGTACAACCAGGAAATAGAAATAAATATATTTTACTTAAGATAAAAAAAAATGAATCAAATTCTGCCACTCCCGGCAAGTGTCCCCTTTTTCCCACCCTAGTTCCGGTTTAGAGTATGATCCAGAATCACTTTCTTTGTACTTAATCACCGTAAGTGACTGTTAATTTTGGGGGGACTTCAGCCCGAACCTTTTTTTTTTTCATACATAAAACGATAATTAATTCGAAAAAAAAGAAAGAAAGAAACTAACTACCTATATGATATGGTGTTTAAGTGATTCTTGAAGTTCTATTAAATGTAATTACACTAACAATAATACTTTAAGAGATAGTTTTTAATATCTTTTTCTGTAAAGCATGGTTATATTTTACCCCATTTTGAGGGGGGGGAGGGCGGTCTTCAGCCCGAAAGTCCTCTTCTCCCCCGGAGATCCGCCTGTGACTGAAGCTGGAATGGCAGCTTAATAAATGTTATCGGTATCCGTACATATATTATTACAGTAAGGCTCAAAATCGGTTTTGTACCAAATATAAGCTCCTGTCATGCTCAAATACCATGAATGGGGTACCGTTGGATTCAGATATTCACGGGAGGTTAGCGAATCGTATTCTCCACTTTTGTTTTTCTTTCTAAAATAAATAAAGTCGATACAAACATTTTTCTAGGCTTCAATACTGGAACGGTGGTAGGTCTGTAGATCGATACGGGACAAATAGGATCTTGAAGATTTTGATGCGTACAGCAAGACCCGGATAGTTCCTCCGGAACTATCGGATCCTGCGTTTTAAGCCCCAAAACGTACTATTTTCGAGATAACGCTTGGCATAGGGTTCGATACCTTGCATTATTTTATTTTCTTATTAATTTGGCATTTTATAACACTATGCTGCGCGAATTTTCCGCACGAGCCTACTAGTTTGTATAACATTCCTTTAATCCGCCTGTGCCTCTCCTCTTTCAAGATATTTTTTGCTCTTCTCTTCTTAAAAACAATGCAGAAACTAGAAACATGTTCCATGTTTCTGGGTATCCTTGCCTACATTGAAGCTGCTATAACTTAATATACGTCATCGCCATATTTCCTAGATGACCTACAAGTAGATGAGTGAAACCAGATGTTTTGCTGAAGACAAAGAGAGCCGGATACTCATTTGGCGACGCACAGTGGTGCATAACACTATATTTTAGAAAAAAAATTAATCCACTTAGGTTACAATACACGACTTAAAACAATAATAGCAGCCATAACTTTTTTAACTTCTTCTTCTGAATCGAATAAAAAGAAAACTAAATCAATACCTTAATTTTTTGTTATTACAATATTACGCTATAAATTTTCAGTACTTCTGAAAAAATTAAATCTGACGATTTATATCAACAATGTTAAACGGAAATTTTTGAAAATTAGAACGATTGGAATGAAATCTGACTCAATTGATTTTAAATTAATTAAAAAATACATCATTTGAATGGTTTGTCATAAATATTATTTCTGAAAAACAAAGAAAAAAAACCATCCTAGGGGCTATGGGTACTCCTGAATCATCATTATTTAGAAAAGAAAAATATAAATTTTTTTTCTCTGTTGAGAATTCTGGTTGTCTTATTAATTTTGTTTTTTGCAAATTAATTACACTTTCATACTATTTCGATTGAGAACTGAGAAACCTCATGGATGGTTGGGAGGAATGATTAAGGCAAGAGAACAAAAAAAATAAAATAAAATAAAAAATAATATTCCTTCATAAATAAGTATTTTTAGGGTCTGATCTCTGCCATGTGAGCTTTCTTGGGTTGGCAACATTAGAAATTGTAATACCATTAAATTAAAAATAAAATCAGTCATCTCATATAGCACATTCAAAACATATGAGTATTTTACTCATAACTAATATAGCAATATAATGAGCATTGCGATAAAATTACCTATATAAATTGTTTAAAAAAAAAAACCACTCTAGTATTCAGAACTGTTATTCCATTATTCCCATGTTGTGTTACTAAATAAATTGTTAAAAAAATTCTAGGTAAAATGAGAATGACCCTTTAAATATAGATGCATTAATATAAAAAAATAAGTTTATTATTCTCTCCTTTAATTGTTCAGACTTGATCAGTATAGTACTTCAATAAATAACCAAATAGTAGTGAAGCATTCATTTAAAAATTGGTATATTCACTTCTCACACATACATTTTTTTTTTTTGGCAAATCAAAATTCTACATTTAAAAATTATTCTTAAATTTCTATTTTGATCTATTAAATTGGTGTTACCAATAACAATTTTGCTCTTCTATATGAGAAAACTCCATAATAATTTTTACAAAGATTCATATATTGACTTTTGATAGAATGTTACTCAATTATGTATTTTATGAGGCATAACATAAATTTCAAATTACAATTTAATTGATATATTGGTTTCTTAGTTACTGAAGGTGGAATTTTCCAGTAATAACATAATTATAAATTTTGTGTTTTAACTCTTTATATTTATTACAGTAATTTTTGTGTTCAAATAATAATTTAAATGTGGTCAACTGGTTCGAAGAACCATTGTGGTTTCAAATACATATGATAAGATAAGATAGTTAGATGACTGTAACCATAAGATAACTTTTATCAGTTGTAGTTAATATCTTGTGTTTTCATGAATTCATCAGGACATAAGTACCATAAAAATAGTTCATTAATAGTAAACTGAATTGTTTTAATGATGTTTAAAAATCTATTTGTGCCTTTAAGATTGGTTTTCAGTAAAAGACTTCCATTAAAATTTAGCTCTTCTACTATCTCTACGAAAACATTAGAGAATGAGGACAGAGGGATAACAATTGTTTCATTAGACAACTCTAAAACAAAAAATTCATTAAATAAAGAATCAGTACAAAATCTTAGTAATGCTTTTGAAGAAATTTCAACTGATTGTAATACAAGAGTGGTTATAATAAGAAGCTTAATACCAAAAGTGTTCTGCGCAGGGGCTGATTTGAAAGAAAGGCTGACATTGAGTGATGGTGAAATAAAATTGTTTTTGAATAAGCTAAATGAACTTATGTTCAAAATTGAAGAATGTCCAGTACCTGTGATTTCAGCAATAGATGGAGCAGCTTTGGGAGGTGGATTAGAAATGGCTTTGGCTTCTGACATTAGAATCGCATCAGAAGATGCAAAAATAGGTCTAGTTGAAACAAAGCTCGCTATTTTACCTGGTGCAGGAGGTACTCAGCGATTAACTAGATTAGTGGGTTCATCTCTAGCAAAAGAACTAATTTTTACAGCTCGCATTTTAAACGGAAAACAAGCGAAAGAACTTGGAATCGTGAACCATGTGACAAAAGATCCTGAGACAGCATTTGAGAAATCTTTAGAAATAGCAAGAGAAATTTTACCAAATGGACCGTTAGGAGTTAAATTTGCAAAACTAGCAATAAACAAAGGTAAAGAAGTCGATATTTATCAGGGTTGTGCTATTGAGAGATTGTGTTATTCTCAGGTAATACCAACAAAAGACCGATTGGAAGGACTGAAGGCATTTGCAGAGAAACGAAAACCAGATTATAAAGGAGTATAGGAAAAGTATTTTAGAGCTTTAAATTATTATGAAAACTTAAGACTTAAATGAATCTCCAACTTTATTTTTGTATTTTGATTAATACAATATATCTCCTTGGATTGAAATACAAAAATTTTGGATTCCTTCAAGAGATTTATTGAATAAATAAAACAATTTTAATTTTTTCTGATTAATCCATGAAAATAATAATCCCTGAATCCATTCAACTAGTAGATATAACACCAAAGAGTAATTGCGACAAAGAAAATAAATAAAGTATTACTGCTAAGAAACATTTAATGTTTATCAAATAAAAACTAATTTGACTATCTAACTAGGTTGCAATAAGCAGAAAAAAATTCTTAAGCATATTAAAAAGTAAACAAAAAAAGAGACTAAAGCTTGCTTAATAATAACACACATTATCAGTAAAAGAATGACACATAAAAACACAAATACAACTATATAATAATTATAATGCAGATTTTTTGAAAATGTCACATTACAGCATTAAAAGACTAAGCTCTTTAATAGTAATTATATAAAGCAATGTTTCAATAATAACTTTCAAAATAAACAACGGATTTTGTACATAATGTATTAACCCTCTAAGGATCCCACACAGTTTTATTTTTTAAATTAACATATAAAGAAATCCTAGAAGATTAATCAAGTTAAATGACTTTTACTGTTATTGAATATTTGGAATAGAACAGGAAATAATAATGGGCCTTTTCGATAATATAAAAATCTATTTTTTAAATTAAAAAATGATGCTGCGGTTCTTTCGGGACCCATTCTTATTATACATGAGCTTTTTAAAATATATTTTTTGAATGTTTGGTTATTATTGAAAAAATTCCAAACCACACAGCATTATTTCTCCAAAATGCAGGCAAAGAAAAAAAACTGTTAATGTCTCGCAAATTCAGGCATCATCAGGAAAGAAAAGAAACAGCTAATACTGAAGAGTATGCGATTGGATTTCATGGCATGATGTTCGATTAGCTGTTTCTTTTCTGTCCTCATAATGCCTGAATTGTTGACGGGTTTTTTCTTCGCCTGCATTTTGCAGAGATAAGGCTGTGTGGTTTGGAATGTTTCCAATAATAACATAACATTTATGTTCTGTCTCTTGGTTATTTTGTTACTAATTTATAACAATATTTTTTAAAAATATTTAATAAAATTACTACTATAAAATTAATATAATATATAAATATAAAAAGAAACTACTTATTTCTTGTATAAAAAAACATTCCTCATAATTTTTTACAAATAACTAGATAAAACAAAAAAGGAAACAAACGAAGTATCAGGGCAATATTTGAACAAACATTTTTTATTTGATGACATTTAATTTTATATCATATAAGAATCTATAACCATATCAAAACTTCTTATAACAACTTCACTTGCTGTACGTTTGTTATGTATCTTCCCTAATAAAGGCTGAATGGAATACAATGGAAGATAATTGACCATTAATTTTATAATACAACTTTTTGGTAAATTTTCATGCTTTAATAATTATTTCCATCCCCAAACCCTACTCTTTGGTTATTTTATGTTTATGTTGAAAAGTTATTTTTCACTTTTAATTTCCTCCTCCAAAATCCTACTTTTTTATTTTCTTCTTATGCCTATGCCATCTTCATTTACTTGAAGCTAGATTTAAATAATATGGAACTGTTTTTAACAAAAAGAAAAAGGAACAAAACTTGAGCTACTCGTAAGGTTAACTAAAAATTTTTGTTTTTCCATTGACACTGCAGCCCAATGTGGACCTTGGCCTCCTCAATAAGTCTTCACCAGGTGGCTCAGTCTTGTGTAGCCGCTCTCTGATTTCGAATGCCTAAAAGGATCCAAGCATCCTGCATGACTACATCTTCTCATCTCAGCCTTGGCCTTCCTCTTGACCAGACCGAATTCTCAAACAGTAGTTCTCTGAAAATTTCTTTCTTATTTATCCTTGCTACATGCCCACCTCAATCGACCATACTTTATAAAACGAACGACATTCACTTCCCTATATATTTCTCTGTTGTAGTGCCTCCTTCAGTGGTAACCTTCATCCTTAAGGGATCCAAAAATATTGTGCAAAATCTTTCTTTCGAAGATAAGAAATTCCGTCTCTTCTGAACTAGTTAGAGTCCGAAATTTCTGGTTGATACCAGTCCTATCAAAGTTTTATAATAAAGATGGCACTTAGTCTGACAAGGCAAGGCCTTAATGCTAGCTTTCTCAGGCCGAAATAGGAGGAATTGGCATTCTGCATTTGTTGGTCAGTCTCAAGAGATATCTTATTTGAATAACTAACTATTGAGCCGAAATAGGTAAATTGGTCTATATTTTCAAATGTCAACAGTCCATTTGTGACATGTTCCTTGATGAAACTAACTCTTTAACCATTTTGGATTCATGTTTGAGTAGAGACAGAATTGGGCCCAGGAGATAGTGTACTTATAAATGAGTCAGGAGCCTATCAAGCTTTTTCTCGTTAAAAACGGTGTATTCAGTGATAAGTTCCACTTTTAAACTTCCTTCCTATAAGGCATTGGGTAATTTTTCTGTGACTGGAGATTATGGGCATTTTTGAATGATGCTTTAAATAAAAACAAGTAGGTGGTCATTAGAGGTGATGAAAACTATTCCGTCTTCAAGGATGCTCCACACTTCCTTCCGTAATCGCTAAAGAGTTAATAGGTTTATGAAATGTATAAAATTAAGAGGTTTATAAAAAAATATATCATTAGCTACTTTGGAAAAAATAAGAATGAGAAATCAAAATGAAAAATAATACATTTATTGTAAGAATAACAAATACAAAAAAAAAAGTATTTACAACAAAATTAAATTAAATATAGGAAAACATTTATACATATATACACATAGCAAAACAATAATTTCAGTAGTTTAATATACAATGTAGGCAAATATATTATACATTAATGGGAAGAAAATTCTTTGACAGTTACTAAACAAGTTTTCCAACTATAATTTTCCATGTCGTTTCTCCAAATTTCACAGGAGTAGGAGCTGGCAGTATGTCTGGTTTACAAAGCTTAATAGTATCCATCCAAGATGAAGTTGCTGCTTTGGCAATCAAACATCCATGTTTTAACGTGGAAGTCTTTTCGCAAGGAGTAAGCTTCATTGTAGCTATGGTAGAAAGGAATTTTTATTATAATACATTAAATTATAAATAAAAATATGTTGAATATGATCCTTTATACATTTTGAGAAATAAGCTTTCTTTAAATGGAAGTGGTTTATAAAGTATTCGTTTAAAACAATTATTTATCTTTAATAACATTCAAATAAATTTAACACCATAACATAACGGATGGTTGAAGGATTAAAGGAGGATATCCAAAACAGTAAAACTTCAATTTACAGTTTCAGTTAACAGTCACTACAGTAGAATTCCAAAAAAGTGGGTTTTTAAATGCATGGTGACATATTCACAGAAAATTAGATAAATAATTAAGTAACATAGAGTAATAAAAAGAATAATTTAATAACATAAGCACCATATTTTATCAGATAAAATAATTTGAAAAAGTCAAATTAGTTTTAAAAAATAAGTTAATTACATTCATTGGCTCAAAATATTAGAGTAATTAGACAACAAGGAAAGAAATAACAAGACTGGGAAAAGAATTTATAAGAAAATTATAAAATATCAGGTTTTAAGAAAATGTGAACAGAGATGGATATATTTATATTAAAAAATATAAATATGAATATCATTTATGTTTATGGCACTCATGAATATAAATATGAATATATTTATATTCATAAAAACAAATATGAAAACAGATGATACATATCCACAGCTGTAAATATAAATATGGCTCTGTATTTATGATTGTAAAACTGAATATGGCTGCATTCACGTCTATATGCTTAATTTTAAATTTAAGTTTATTCATTTTAATAAATAAATAAATACTGCCGTATCCACTTTTACAATCATAAATACGGCCCTATTTATATTTACAGTTGAGAATACGTATCATCTGTATTCATATTTCTTTTTATGGATATAAATATATTCATAAGTGCCATAAATATAAATGGTATTTGTGTTTATATTTTTTAATATAAATATGCCCATCTCTGAATGCGGACATGCACTAACACCCTCTCTGAAGAACAAGAAGTGTATAAATATAATCAAACATAGACTTCATCTGCAAGGTCTGAATGTGTTTGTGCTAAAAGCTTGTCGTAAAAATATAAAAGAAAATTATAAATTTTTTCAAGCTCAATAATCACGATTTCAAGATTTGCAAATCTTTTGTAGTTACTTAATAAAAAATATTTTTATATTGTAAATGAGTTTGATTTATGTTTATAGTAAAATATATTGACTGCTATTTATAGCTATTTTCTGAGAAGCATTTCTGTCATCTCATTTGTTCCACCGTCACCTCATGCTCCAGGAGATGACTGTTAATTATGACATGATCTGTATTAATAAATACAAGATATAATAGTATTAAGTTTTCCCAAATAAAAATAATAAATGATTTTATTCTTGAAACATAAATAAACAATAAATACTAGACTATATATTTCTAAAAAGATTAAATCCATACTTGCTGTGTATGCAGGCAAGAAGAACCATAAAAATGACACATATACTGGTAATGTTTGAATAAAATATATTGTTCTATTTAATATACCACTAATTAACATTACTCCAACTCGCATCTGAAAAATCATTTCTCCATTATAATATTTCATTATCAGTTGTAGGTCAACAAGTATTTCAATTATAAGAGTTATAATTAAAACATAATATGATATTTAAAAGCTTTATTAGTAACAGTTCATAAGATTAATTAATTTAAAATAAAATACCCAAACATACCACAGTAAAAACAACATAGTATACAAGTGTGGTAGGTAAGAGGAATAGTAAAACAGCAAAACTTATGGTTCCAATCAAGAGCTCCTCAGTAGTATATGGGTATGAATCAACTTTCCCAGGCTCAGGATTTCTTTTTTTACCCAAAAATAATCTTGAAAGTGAATACAATCCCTTTGCTTGAATTTCATACAGCCTAAAAAAATAAAAAGAATTGGTATGAATAATAATATAGTACTCATAACATAGATAAATATTACAAAAAGGATGCTAAAACAGATTAAAAAAATAAAATCAGATATTTCCAAGGCAAACTTAAACTAGTTGCCCACTAGGTCAGGCACACAGGCTTAGTGTGCCGAAGAACCTCTCTTGAATAAAATTTATCTCTTTTGCAAATAATTTTTATTTTACTATTTTACAAACTAAAATTGATACTTTGACCAGTGACTGATGGCCAAACTGAGAAAGAGTGAGGGAACAGAAATAGAGGTGAAGAGTGTAGGAGTTTGTACAGCCTTTAACGTAACTGGCAAGGTAAAATAGAAATATGATATATATATATCACGATATTATACTATGATTTGTCATCATATCAAGCAGTATAAAAGAATAAATAATTAAATAAGGTAAATACTGTTACCTTGCGGCATAAACATATATGCAATAAACATGAAAAGAGATGATAGCAAATATATCAGCACAAACTGCTAGCTGAAATGTCAGTCCTAAAAATCCAATTCTAATGAGTATCTGAAAGAAAATTTCTAAAACAGGTCGAACCGTACCTGAAAAAGATAAAAAAAAATCAATTAAATAAATAAAACTAGTACAATAAATGTAAATCCACAAAGAACCTACTTAAGAATGACCACCATAAATCCAAATAGTATAGAACCAAGGATCCAAATAAACTACTTAATGGCTGATTTAGTTTCAGACCAGCAGGACTTCCCATAAGCCATTTAACAATGTGACTGATTGAAGAAATGACATTCTACATAAAATCAATTATGAAAATATATAAAGAAATTGTATAAACAGTATTTTGTTTAGGTAGCACAAACCTCAGTGCACATAGAAATTGAATCAAACATTTCATCTGAGTTTTTCCATCTTGCTATAAAATAAAACAATAACCAGCCTAATAACATATCGGTCAAGATAGACACCAAAGAATTACCAACCTTTAAATTTATAAATCTAACTTTTCTGTAAGTATTTTTGATCCACAATACGGTTTGGTAGTAATTTCTAAAATTCATTGCTAATGTGGAATATTTAAAGACATGAGAACATATAGAAATAATAAAATTGATCACGCTAAGTAGCATTAAAACGACATCAATGATAGTAGAAAAGATATTAAAACCATATCCGGTAGAATAGTCTTTATTTGATTGCAAATCACTGGCTATAATTTTGAAATGATTGATTTCATTAGATTTTTTGTGATTCGAAAGTAGAAGTTCAGACTGCAACAGACTATGACTATCATAAACAATTAAGAGGCAGTCTTTTACATCTACTGATTCATTATTTAGTATGCATGAATCTAAATAAATCTTTTTGTTAGAGCAGATAATTGAAATCCAAACTTCGGAATGATGGTTCTTGTCATATGATGGAATTTCATTTTGTCCTGTGGAATAGGTTCCAACAATATGATTAGTTCGACATTTGGGAGCTTTATTACCAACATCTGTTCCAAGTACATAAATGGATCCACGAACAGTACTATCTTCTCTTAAATATCCAATCAAATAACCAGGCAACTGTTTCACAATAATATTTGGAATAAAAACTAAGAGAGCCTTCATTATGTTACGACTGTTTTGAATAAATTGACAACAAAATTCAGAGTATCACTCATGACAACCCCAACCAGTCTTTGATTTGTAACCTACTGATAAACAAAGAGGGAGGTTCTAAACAACAAGTTGACAAATGTCACTGTACTCTACTTATTAAATATTTATTACTGAAAATGTCGTGATAATGAAAAATAGTATCGATATTAGTCATAAGCTAAAAGAAATTGATTATTTAAGAAATATACCAGGGTTCTGATGCCCATAAAAATAAATGAAACAATCCTCATTTATTAATTATGCACCCTGCAAGTACAGAAAGTTTTCAGTTATCTGTCAGCGGAAGTTTACTAAGCAGCAGGTTTAGAAAGCCGAACTCTATTAATGAAATTTTAGCTTTTAGATCAGTATAGTGTTTATTTATTTCATATTCGGTCAGTATTCTTGTTTTAATATGCATGATTGGTTGCACGTTCTTCCCTTCCAAGATTGTTTGTTTGGCATGGACAATATTAAATGATTGTTATAATATATTTATTATTATTTTTGTGCATGATTCTTAATTTTTCTCTTAATTTCTTTGGGTCTGAGGGTTTTAAAACTTATGTACCATTGAAGGCTAAACCTTTCTGTATACATAATTTATTGAAATATGAATTTTTAATGGTATTTGTACATGTTAAGTAATGTAAATATAGATATTTAATAGGTCAGTATCAGATCTACTTATGTGAAGTAATTATAGTTCAGTAGAATTTGTTAAACAAAAGAAAGAAAATCTTTTTTTAGGTTATTGAAAAACCTTTATTTCCACGGAATGCTGGTAAAATATATTAGTTTTAAAATATATTTTTTATACTCATGTTTATAGTTAAGTGTATTTTAACTTAACTAGAATTGTATACACTTAAATTCAAGCCTCTTTAATTTGAATCATATTTATTTTTCATTAGTTGACATCATTATGTGTTGTTCTATAGTTGAACCAATCAAAGAATTTCCCAAATTAAATTAATTTCTTGTTATCCTTCACAATTCCCTGTATCACTTATACTGAAAAGAAATGCTGGACTGGTTCATATATATATATATACTTTGAATTGGAGGGAGTTAAGGAAGGTCACATGGCCCCCTCTTTAGTTTTGAATATCTTGTGTTGCCTATCACTTCTGTTGTTAGTCTTATAACAGATACTTACCTGAGGAATAAGCAGGTGAGTTGTACCACTGCCTAATGATTTTAATCTTTAATTTATTAAAATATATTGAGTGAGCCACTACTTGTGATTAAATATTTAATGCAGTTAATAAACAATCTGATTTTGTTAACAATATTAGTATCGGAATATTTACTAATAATACATAAAAATGTTTGATTAAAAATATCATTGAGCTATGTTACATCTACCCATCTGGTTTATCTACAGATTAGGTTTTGAATATATGTACACTAACATGGTTTTTGCACTGAAGGATAATAGAAATTGTCTTTCCCAAATTATTTACCACAAAGGAGAGAACTGATGTTACATTTATGCCTTATTAGCAGCAGTATAGTTCACAGATATACATAAAATAGAAAACTGTTTCTTGCATCAAGGGCTCTTAATTTGTGTATTATTTTTTTAAAAAATGATGATTCCTTTAAAGCAATACAAATTTTTATTATAGTTAGAATTTATTTATTATTCCTTGTAAATATACAATAATAATAACTTAAATATATGTTATAATAATTGGTACTCTTTCATTTGTGTGACCATTGAATGAAGGGGATTAGTTGTTAACATCCTTTAATATTACTGCATGCCTTGTAGTAAGTTTTTTTTTTTCAAGACATTTCAATTGTTAGATTTTACTCTAGATATGAAAATTTCCAAATGATTATTTCCACTGAAACTATTTAATGAGTTATTAATGTTAGTGTTCAATAGAAAATATAAAATTTCTTTTCTAAATAAACTTTTTTTTACAAATGAATTTAATATGAGAAATTTAACAGTTCTTATTATTCTAAAATAATGTTGCTTGAATGATACAAATGACTGTGTAACAATAGATGGTAATTATTTAGTTATTAAATTATTATACTTCTGAATGGAACTATGGTTGGGGCTTAAGGAGGCAGGAAGTACTTATCAGTAGATTGACCTTGGATATAATATTTTATTACAAACTATGTGATATGTATTAATATAAACTTTAATATTATTTGTTGATCGGTAACCAAGGACCGCTTGCGCTACCTGGTTTTATTTATGGTGAATCAAGAAGATCGTATTTTCCTGTATTGTGTATTCGCTGTTATGTTTCGCGATGTATTGCACGTTTAGAATGGAATAAGCATTATTGAGAACAGATCTTTTATGAGAACGTGTTTTTATATCGAAGAAGTACAAGATAAATAAGACTTTAGATTTCATTCCAGCCTTTCTGGATTTGTCTATTCTTATAAAAGTTGCTATACAACCTGATTTGTTTAGTGAGTGCCGGCACCTAGGGTTTTTGCCAGGTAAGTTTAATTTTACCTCCCCTATTTTCGTCTCCCGCCTATAAAAGTTGACGTTTTATAACAATAGGTGATATATTTTGGAAACCAGAAGTAACTATTTTTTATTTAAATTAATATATATATATATATATATATATATATATATATATATATATATATATATATTGGGTGGATCTATAGGTTCGTTCGGTTTTTCAAGGGTGAAATAAAACAATTTTTTTTCATATAAAGAATAAATTTTATTCAATAGTATGTTCGCCGTTTTTATTATGACCTCTTGCCATCTTTCTTACAATTTCATTATTCCGCTCTCGTAAAACACCTGGGGATTAGAAGAGAATATCTGATCGAGATACCTTTTCAAATCTCTCTCATCATTGAACGATTTCCCGTTGAAAGAATTTTGAAGGGATCGGAATAAGTGGTAGTCGGATGACGAAAGGCCCGAAGAATACGGTGGGTGTAATAAAACATCTCAGTAAAATCGCACTAACTTTCACTGTGTGATTATTGCGGAGTGTGGTCTGGCGTCGTCATGGTGGAATGCAACACCTTTGCGAGTGACTAGTTGTGGAAGTTTCTGTAGCAATTTTTTGTACAATTTCGTTAGCTGCATGCAGTAGATCTTCGAATCAATCGTTTTTGCTTGTGGAAGCAACTCGTAAAACATTACGCCGAATAATCCCACCAGTTTGGACAGTAAAATCTTCTTCGGATGTAAACCGCCCTTCGGGGTGGCATTAGGCGGCTCGTCAGCAGTTGTCCACGATCTCCTGCGCACTACATTGTCGTGGATGATCCACTTTTCGTCACCCATCACTATTCGTTCGAGAAATGGGTCACTTTCGCGCCTCTTCACAAGAGAATGGCAGATTTGAAATGAAATGAAAAAGTAATTTTATTTAGGGACTACTGTCTCCTAAGAATAATAACAGAGTTAAAAAATTAATGGTCTTAGTCTAACTTAGAATAATAAAAAATACAAACTAATTAATTGTTATTGCAATTGTGCAGTAGATAGAAATTAAACAGTGTACAGATGCAAGTAGTTTTATTTGTTTGCGGAAGTTTGAATGTGGAGTAGATAGTGGAAAAAGGGTTGTTTGAAGGAATTTTTGGACGAGGATTGACGTATGGAGGTAGAAAGAGAGTTCCATTAGCACAAAGGATTTGCTGAAGGAAGAAGTTTTATAGGAGGGGATATATAAGTCTATAGGTTGAGACCTGGTATTAAGAGAGTGGATAGAGGAACGTAGAGTAAGGAGTTCCAGGATGTAGGGAGGGTTTTTGGTTCTGAAGATTTGGAAAAGGAAAACACCAAGGAGGAATTGTCGTCGGGAAGTAGGATAAAGCCACTTCAACTCGGTGTACCAGAATGAAACATGTGAACGCAGGGGGTCCCGCTGATGTATCTTATGGCAGAGCCCTCCAAGATAGCTCTCCATACACCAAACAGCCGTAGTTGGGGAATATAAAGGAGGTTACAAGGAGCTGTCTGGTTTTTAGAGGTCTACAACCACGCAATCTTAAAATTTTTTTAAGGGCAGTTATGGATTTTCGGGTAATCTGGGGGATATGGTTATTCCAGGAGAGGTTCTGGTAAAAGTTTACTCCTGGATTTTTGACTGTAGAGAAAAAATGGATGGGATGGTTATTGAGGTTAAGTTTATTTATTACAGATTTGTACTCCGTTAGGCAGGTTTGCTTCAGTCAGTTTGTGTAGCACCCAAACACGAGGCGGGACACGTAGCCAAACTATTTTAAATGCTTTTTAACGGTTCTAAAACCTATTATCAGTGTCTCCGCAATATCTCGTACCTGTTGCGACCGATTTTGTTCGATTAGAGCCTTGATATCACTCGAATCAACCTCGGTGGCGCAGATCACTGCGGTGCATCTTCGAGACTCTTATCTCCAGAATTAACTTGGCAAACAATTTTTGGCAGTTCGTTCTGTTAAGGGATCGTCCCGGTATATCTTACATATCTTTTGGTAGCCCTTCGAAGCTCGCTTGCCTTTTTTGAAATAAAAAACAAAATAGGCCGAAAATACACTATATCATTTGATATATTCACTACGCTGTAACACAAACAAAACTAATGCCAATGAAACTAAACACAACAATTTTGAAGAGCGGACTTTGACATTTCCGATAAGTATGATTATTGTACGATAAGGCAAAGATGACTGAAGATATTTGAAAACTATTTGCACTAGTAACAATAATCGAACGAACTTATGGATCCACCCAATATATAGCTTGAAATTTATAAATTTCAACGATCTATAAATTCTACCCTCTTTTTGTCCTCTCCTCTTTTCGAACCTGCTTTGATTAGAGCTAAATTTTTCCAAAAACAAAACAATAATTATGATGATTTACAGTTGTGTCACTTCCATGTAGATTTAGTATGTGTAATGTAAACATGATCAGTCATGAACATATTGAATTGTCCCATCTTTTTAATGATTCTCTCAGTATGGCGTAGCTTATATATATATATCGAAGATTGACTTGATTTATAATTATACATTTCTTTTAGGGATCGACTTTCAATACCGATTTGTCGATCTTTCGTTACAAAAAATTCTTATTGCTGAATAAACATATCTATTTATAGACGCTACTTCTTTTTACAGTTCCGAATTTTATTTGTGATTCATGCTAATATGTGCTTTAATTTGTTTAAAGTTTATAATTTAAAGAAAGAAGTATTTACTACTAATTATTTGAAATTGTAATAAATAAATCGTCCTACTCAGTTAGCCT